AGTTTACTGGGCCCTCCCTGGTGGCGCAGCGGGTTAAAGCACAGCACTGAGAAGCTTAAGCCAGTTCCACATGAGCTTAAGCCAGTTCCGCATGAGTTCGATTCCAGCCTGCCCCGGAGGTGACCACATGGCACGGCAGACCTCTCCTGACCCGCCTGCTGCTCCCCTCAGCAGTGTACTTTGTCGATCTGCCTGTTCTGCTCCCCACTCTGTCTCTGGTGAAGCCTCTCGCCGCCCCTGAGCCTCTGGCCTGTACCCCAGTTCTGTATGCACAAATCAATAAATCTTTTTTTAAAAAAAAAGCAGTTTACTTTTGACTCCAAATCTGAAGCTTCATTTTTTACTTCAGCCAGCTTTTCTTTCTTTTATGTTAACACATGACTCTTCAAATACAGATTGTCAGTTTTATTGCAGTACATTAAAATACGCAACTAAAATTGAGGGGAGTTTTCCCAAAATATCTAATATCCAGTTGGATATAAAAATAGGAAGAGTGGGCCCTCCTTGGTGGGACAACAGTTAGCACTATGAAACTAACCACAGCTGCTGCAGCCTGAATTTGATCCTCAGCCAGGGTGCTGACCCACATGGAGCCTGGGAGCTGACCCACATGGCGTGGCAGAACTCTCCTGTCTTGTCCACTGCTCCCCTCAGCAGTGGACTTGTCAATCTGCCTGTCCTGCTCCCCACTCTGTCTCTGGTGAATCCTCTCACCGTCTCTGCACCTTTGGCCTATATCTCAGTTCTATATGTATAAATAATCTTTTTTAAAAATAGGAAGAGCACCAATAAATTTTGAAAAAATAAAACAATGATGGGGAACTTGGTGTGTGACATGTAGTAAAAGAAAACCATGGAAGTTAAACAAGAGTGGTCTTAGATTAGACAAAGAAACAAGCGCAATAGCCCAGAAGTAGAATCTGTACTTGCAACACCTTCATAGGTGAGATTACATTAAAAAAGAGGCATTACAAATCCCTGCAGGAAGAAAGGTGCCATAATAAATTTTGAGGAAAGCAATTTGGATACATCGAAACATTTTTCTAACTAAAAACTTATTTTTTTTTAATTAAAAAAAGGATGGGATCAGATTAATGGAAAAATCAGAGCTGAGAAACCACAGCTCTTCAAGTTCCCTCAGTCTAGGGTTGTTCTTCTCAAGAAGAGCACAGATAGGTTTTAAAGCTCAGAGTACACAAAGAAAGTCAGCAAAAGGGCAAACTCAGGTATTTTGATAAATTCATTGGCAAGCCTCTGCCTTCAACAATTGACTATACAGAAATAGTTGGACTATCTTGGAAATTCTTTTTTTTTTTTGTTTTTGTATAAATAAGTTCATACCAGGCAAAGTTAAAATTGAGAATTAGTATGAAATAAATATATTTTCAGATATACAAGAATTGAATGTTTACAATTCCATGTGAAAAAATTTCATCTGGAAACACCCCACCAAAATATTTTTTTCAAAATACAGATTAACATGCTGTGTAAGAGGCATTTGAATGGGATCCAGAATGAATACAAAGAGAAAAACCAAAATTTAATGAAATTGATGCTTGAAAGATTTTTCATAAACATTACAATTAAAATGCTGTTTATTGGTTTTCAATTTTAGTGAAAGACTTAATTATGTTAATAGAACAGAAAGTATTATCAACCTTGACAATGTGAAATAACAGAAAGGGGAGGGAGAATCAAAAAGTAAACTAATTTCCTCATTCTTCATAGATAATCAATAGACGGTGTTTAACGTGATAAAGTAAGAAATTGATGTTTATGTTGTTAACGTGATGGAGGAGCTCCAAAAGAATTAACAGTAATGACATATCTAAGAACACCAGAAGGTGCAGGTGGGAGGCTGCATTAGTGGACTAAGGCCCACATAATTCACACTGAGAAGTCAACAGCGCTTAGCTGCTGAGAACTAAATCTCCTGGGACTGAGTCTGGATTTGGGAACAGGGGGGAGGAAAGCTTAACTTTGGTTCTGTATCCTTCGAAACTGAATCATTTTAATCCATTTTATCTTTAACACAAAAGCTATATGGATAACCCTTAAAATATGGTACATCTCAGCAGTGTACTTCGTCAGTCGGCCTGTTCTGCTCCCCTCTCTGTCTCTGGTGAATCCTCTCACTGCCCCTACACTCTGGCCTGTACCCCAGTTTTGTATGTATAAATAAAGAAATCTTTAAAAAATATATGGTACGTCTATAACAGTTGTATTATAGTAAAAAAAAAAAAAAGTGGGGTAATGACATGAAAGACCACATGGACTTAAAATGAAAAGAGCAATTTTTGGGCCCTCCCTGGTGGCATAATGGGTTAGGATGCAGCACTGTAAGTTGGCCACAGCTGCTTCAGTGCAAGATGGACCCCGGCCCCAGAGGTGACCCACATGGCACAGCAGACCTCTCACTGCCCCTGCTCCTTTGGCCTGTACCCCAGTTCAGTACACATAAATAAATCTTTAAAAAAGAGCAATTTTCAGAAAGATGTGAATTCTAGTGGTATAAAATAATAAAGTCTATATACATGCTCATATATTCATAGAAAATGCCTCAATTGTCACTCTTTCCAGGGAGTTGAGGGACAGGGAAGAGAATGAGGACCTTCCCATTTTATACTTCTATTCCATTTGGAAGGGCTTTTTTCTTTCTTTAAATAAGGAAGTATTAATTGCACAATCTCAAAAGTTTGGGCCCTCCCTGGTGGTGCGACAGGTTAAAGTGCAGCACTATGAAGCTAGCCACAGCCACTGCAGCAAAAGTTCAATTCCCTGCCAGGGAGCTGACCCACATGGGGCAGCAGACCTCTCCTTTCTCGCCCATTGCGCCCCTCAGCAGTGCTCTGCCTGTTCTGCTCCCGACTCTTGTCTCTGGTGAATCCATTCACCCAGCCCTCGGCACCTTTGGCCTGTGCTCCAGTTCTGTATGCATAAATAAACAAATCTTTAAAAAAAAAACTCAAAATTTGTCTTTTTAAAGTAATATTCTTTACAGAAACATTGGGAAAATATCAAAAACAATCACCCAATTTCACACATATTTTTGTAAATTTATTTATCAGAAGTTGCATCTGCTCTTGGCCGAAGGTAGTGTGGAAAGAGCCATCGGCGAGGGGGACCTGGCTTTCCTCCTCAGCCCCCCGAGTCCCTGTGGCCCGGCTTTCCTCCTCTACTCCCCAGCCGTGGTGTAGTCCACTGGGATTTTTGTCATTCTCAGCTCCAGACTTAACCACAGCCATTCTCCTGGGATACTTCTAACCTTCAGCCCATCAGCAAATCCTTTCAGCCTTAACTTTAAGATATAAGCAGTATCTGGGCACTGAGGAATAAGTTTCACCTGGATTTATGCCAGAGCCCTCCAATGACCTAGGAGCTGTCCCCCATTTCCTGTGACCTCATTCCACACTGCTCTTGCCGCTTGCTTAGCGTGCAACACCCAGCCCGAAAGCATCAGCACAATGCTGCCCTCATTCCAGCTGCTCCCACTGCCTGGATGCGCAACTCAGAGGTTCAGGTAGAACCTCGCCAGCTTCAGGCTTTGTTCAACCCCCATCTTTCCAACGAGACTTCGGGTCACCCTAATCAGTGTCTGATTGCCCAGTGTCTGGTCCCTCTATTCTAATTTTCCCTCGCCCCCGGCCTGAATCATTTCCTAACCAAGTAGATATACACTCACCATTCACATGTATCACCTGTTTCATCCTACTAGAGTGTAAATTCCACAAGGGCCGATGTCTTTATTCAGTTCATTGAAATGACTAGCACATTGCCCATGCTCAAGAAGAATCTGTTGAGCAGTGAATGAGACCTAATTTCCTCAGCTGTAAATGGGCCTGAGAGGACACAGCTGATACTACTGTGGGGTCTATATGCAAAAAGCGTATTCAATTACCTGCATAGCAGGGTTGCCTAACCTCATTAGGTGATGAAGGATGGCTACTTTAGGGAACATTTCTGTGGAGACCTACTGGGCAGGATTAGCCAGTGAGAGTAGGGGTGAGAGAGTATCCCAGGAGAATGGCTGTGGTTAAGTCTGGAGCTGAGGAGGACAAAAATCCCAGTGGACTCCACCATGGTGGGCAGCAGAGGAGGAAAGCCGGGCCACAGGGACTTGAGGGGCTGAGGAGGAAAGCCGGGCCGCGGAACAAGTAGAATACTGTCGGACGCGGAGCTGAATGCTGGGAACCCTGAGCCCGAGCTAGGCTCCCGGCCAGCCTCGTGGTTCAGGGATGCGGCACAGGACGAGGGCCGCCTGCCAGGGCACCGGCCCTGATTCACACGTGCTCACGTCCCGCGGCGGCTTCCAGCTGCCTTCTAGCCCATTATCATCATTATCTGCTGGCCGGTTGCACGCTTTTGATCTTTGGATAAGTTTCTTTCCCTGCTTCGGCCACTACTTGCCCATGGAAATAGAATTCAGCTTCTTACACCCGCCTAGGCGTCGGGAGCTGCCCTAGTGTGCCGCCGCACCCACGCTGGGCTCAGCACTGTTGCCAGTGATGGTGCCGACTCGGTGCTTCTCTCCCCACCTTCCTAGACTCGTGCATCTGTGTCTGCAGGATGACTCCCTGGGAGGACTGGCCTCACTCCAGGGGAGGGGCCACCGACGACAGTGCTGCTGTGCCCAGTGCCACCCTGTTTCTGGTGCTCAGTAGCCACACTGCAACAGGCAAGCGCCCTCCCACCCACTCCGTGCTGCCACAGTGCCACCCCTCACCTTATAGCAGGGGAGGGGGAGGGGAGGTGATGGGGCGGGTGGCCTGGAGCTGGGGGCCCCATGACACCCAGGCTAGCACATCCCAAGTGAAGCAGGGGCCGGGGTCCACGTGGGGGTGCTCTCCACATGCACTGGTTTCAGTCTTCAGCGTCTCCGTGCACGCGGCAGACACGCTGGGGGCCCATCTTGTCCTAGGAGATATCCAGAACCTACCCCTAGGTACTGACTGAACAGGGCCCAGACTTCAGTTGCAGAAAGAGCTGAGACAGAGGCCTGGTTTGTAAGAAATCTGATTATTCAAATTTATTACCATCAAGAATTATGCAATGATGCTGTAGTTTTCTTAACAAATAGAAAACAGACTGTGTACAACAGTGAACTCTACAGCACTAGCATCCACAAGGTAAAAATGAATGTTTCATCCAACATTACCAACCCTGGATTGTTGATCTTGACTGAGCCTAGCTAGATCTGGGGACGCCTGCGTGGCGTCCCTGGGCTAAAACAGCTATGCACCCTTCCCCGCCCCCTCTTACCTACCTAGATAGTACTGCCCAGAGGACGAGGCCCTCTCCCTGCCCCTCAGCAAGCCGAGATAATAAGGGTTGAGTATAGTACCATTGACGGAAATCCAGTAGTCTTGCCACATTGGTCTATGAGGGCATCTCGAAGGAGTGGAAAAGAGCGATTCTTAGGGGCTTTGAAACAGCTGCAAACCAGGGAGGGAAATCACCTGTCCTCTGTTCCGAGGACAGACATGTGCTTCCAGGCCCACTGGCCTGGACCTGAAGGGCCAGCCTCGCCCCTGCTTGGTCCTGAGGTGTGCAGGGCACGGCGCCCTGACCTGTGCCAACCACCTGGGCCGCGTGACCAGACCCACGACCTTCCAACGCCACGCCGTACTGCAGTGCTGGGGACAGAGGTCAGCTGGCATCTCCCTTGGGACCCCCAGGCACTTGGAGCCGCGCCCCCTCTCGGTGGGGCCGGGGCAGAGGCTGCAGATGACTTGTTTTTCTTTTTCTTTTTTTTCTTTTGTGGATTTTTTTGTTTGTTTTTTTGTCTTTGCTTTTTTCGATCTTTGCAAACACTATGGTGATGAGGAACGCCTCGCCAGGCCCCCCCCCCGGCCACGCCTGTGGTTCTGGGCTGTGAATGTTAAACACACACTGGAACAGACAACTGGAGATGAGTGTTTCCTATCTCCTCCCCGCCCACCACTGTCTGTGGGGCCTAAAAAAAGTCTTGTAAGGAAAAACAAATCAAAACTTAAAAAAAAAACCTTGTGGTTCCCTGCATTTGGCTGAAAGAGGATCTTGTCTGAACAGCTGACCAGTGAGGCCTCCGCTTGGGCTGCGGCCCCAGTTCCACGCATGTGAGGAGGCATGTTCTGTGTCCTTCAGCAATAAAGTCGTACAAAAAAAGGATCCGAAGTCAACTCAAAAAGAGAAAACCAACTAAACCCCAACCCCCAGAGGCCCACTCTGCAGTTACAGATTTGCAAAAGGAAAGATCAGAGGGAAGAGGTGAGAACCCCTCAGTCTACCCCACCTACTGTATAAAAAAGGAGGCTTTGCCCCCTCCCCACCCCATGAGAAGAAGCATGAGAAACGCGGCAGCGGGACAGAGAGCTTGAAGCGGCCGGGGGTGGGGGGGGCCCTGTGTGCAGAGACAGGCACGCGTCTGCCTGCAGCCTGCCCGCTCGCCCGGGACCTTCTGGGCTCTCCGTGTGGTGTGGCGATGTTCCTGAAACACTGTGATCCCAGTGGGCTGTGCTGTGCCAGCAACAGCGTCCGTGCAGGAGGGCTGGACGATGGTCGGTATGGCTCAGAGGAGCTGGGTCCCCTCCGGAGCCCCCGGGCAGGGGCCGCGGAGGAGAGGGGAGCGGTAGTTACGTTGCATAGTGGTCAAAGCTGCCGAGGTACTCCAGGGCCGCGCGGTAGCACAGCTGATACTGGTCCTGTGGGCGCAGGGAGTGGGTCAGCATGGGTGGACAGCGGATCCCCCAAGGGCACTCGCTGTAGCTGGTGAGCCCAGGCGTTCGCCTCTGGTGGCCAGGGCAGGTGCTGGCCCAGGCGTCTGTGCTCGGCAACGTCCAGAGAGCCCTTGAAGGCTCACTGTCCCTTCCCCACCACCCACAGCTACCAATTTTCCGCTCGCCACCCCAGTGAGCACCCCGCAAGGACGGCCGTGTCCGATCCTAGCAGGGAGCACGGCTGCCGACTGAGAGCTGAGCCCGCCAGCGCCAGGGCCCGCCTACCTCCGTCTGCACCATGGCGGGGCGCTGTGTGCGCAGCGTCTTCACGGTCTGGAACATGTCCACCACGCCCTCGTAGCGCATCCGCTCCAGGACAATGCTCAAGGTGATGAACACCCCGGTGCGGCCCACGCCAGCACTGCTCAGGGACAGTGTCCGGTCAGGGCCTGCCCCAGGTGTGCTGCGCCCCGCCCTCCCCCGGGGCTGCTCCCACCTGCAGTGCACCGTGATGGGTCCGTCTTGTCCAAACTGCTCCTTGGTCTTGTGCACCTGCCCGATGAAGTCGATGAAGCCCTCTCCTGTCTTGGGTACACCCTGCTCCGGCCAGTCCGTGAACTGGAACTGCCGGATTGTCCTGGACTGCCCATCCTGGGAGAGGCAGGTGGGGGACAAGGTTAGGGCCCAGAACGGGAGGTACAATGACAAAGGCCCCCGTGGAGTCATCACACCTGAGGCCCCGCCGGGAGATGGGTCACGGCCCGCGTCCGCTCCTCCATCTCAGATGCCTGCAGCCTAGGCAACACGTGCAGGTCAAGCCTGCCCCCCTGTGTTCAGGCAGTGTCAGACATGCTGTCGTGCGAGGCACACAAACCGTGGTCCACACTCACCCGGGCGTCGGTGACCTTGAACTCACGCAGGATATACTGGGGCATGTTGTACTCTGCCATCGGGTCAACAACAAAGTACTGGTAGCGAGCAGAGCGCTCTGCTGGCCAGTACTGGTGGCATTTCTCCTGTGGACAAAGGGCCCCCGTGGTCAGGTGCGGAGGCATGGGGAAGGGCTCCCCCAGGTTTCAGAGGACTCTGGGGCAGGATGCCTCAGGGGGGTGGGCCCGAGGCTCTGCTGACGGGAGGATGGGTGTGAAAGGAGAGAGCACGGCGGGGGTGGCCGGAGGGGGCTCACCCTGCCCATCTCCCGAAGTCTGGTCAGCATGACGATGATGGTGGAGTTGTGCTCCCAGAGCATGCGCCAGAAGTCCTCGGTGCTCTCCGCCAGAGGCCCCTGCGTGGCTATGTAGGCCTTCTGCTGCCTGGGGTGGACAGAGACTGGATGTGCTGGAGGTACCGCAGACCTCAGAGTCCCCAAGACCGTGTTGTCCCTGAGGGGAACTGGCTCAGATCACCCCTCCTCCTTTGGTCTGCTGTGCTCTATTCTGCCCCCAGCCAGGCAGGCCCTGGCCTAGGTCCCTGTAGGTGCAGTGGGCAGTCAGGAGAGTGCTGACCTATAGCCGTCCAGGAAGCTGGCATTGATGTAGTCGGAACCCTCCACACCGCGGATGGGCTGCAGACACACCCGGGTCAATTCGTAGGGCATGATGTTCACCAGGCGGTTCTTGAACTTGTTGCAGGGTAGGTTGGCACTGATGAAGCGGGATGTATGGGCCTTGGAGCTGGCCAGCAACTAGTGAGAGGGGGGCTGGTCAGGCCTGCTTCCTGGAGGCTCGTCCTCGTGACCCACCCCAGGGCCCTGGAGCCCAGCAGGCGCGCCCGCGAGCCTCACCTTGAACTCGAGTTCCATGGACGTCACACTCTCCCCCGGAGGCACTTGGCCCAGCTTCTGGATGTGGGCGTAGAGGTTGCGGGCGGGCACCTCCGTGTGTCCACACGTGGCGGCCTCCAGCAGCGCCTCGTGGATGAATACATACTGGTCCTCGGTCTGCACCATGTAGTTCCTCTGCGATCTCATGCACGTCACATGGCCGTAGATGTCCACAGTCTTCTCGTGCTTCATCCGCTCCAGCATGGCGTCGATGACGACGAAGCAGCCTGTGCGGCCCACGCCCGCACTGCAGGACACGGGTTCAGCTTGGGGCAGAAGTCCACCCCAGAGGAAGTCCACCACCCCTTTTGTGGTGCTGTGCCCCCTCACCTGCAGTGCACCACCATGGGCCCCGCATCTAGTGGGTTGCAGGTCTTGACTCGCCGGAGGAAGGCCAGGATGGGGGTTGGGTACTCGGGAACCCCGTGGTCTGGCCAGGCCATGAACTGGAACTGACGTAGCTCCCGCTTCTCACTGGAGCCACTCTGGCGAGAGACGTGGCGAGAGACGGTATGGCCGGGCACTGGCGCGCCACTCGCGGGGCAGGACGACCTGCCACCGAGGTGAGACCCACTGCTCCTGATTGGACTCAGAAGCCACCTGGGGCAGCCGGAGGGAGCGTCCCATTCGCCCCGCCCACACTGCTGGCTGCCGTGGGGTCCTCCCACACCTCCGAGTCCCACACCCCGGCACACCCTGCTCAGGCTGCCAGGGTCTCTACAGGGCACGGCTGGCAGGTAAGCACCGGCAGAGCCATACCTTGTGGAGCGCGAAGGTGCGCATGGTGTATGTGGCCAGCTCCACTGTGTCCAGCAGGGTCACCTGAATGAGGCCGTAGGTCTCCGTGCCACGGGGTGGCCAGTACTGGTCGCACTTCACCTGCAGAGGGACCAGAAGGGCACGGGGGGTTGGGGGGCTCGCCCAAAGGCTCCAGGGGCAGGGCCTCCAGGGCAGAGGTAAGGGGAAGCCTATTCCTTGGCTGCAAGGCCCCTCTCCCAAACTCAGGCTGGACCCACTGTGCCACCCCCTCCTTGCATCAGGTTTTCATGCCACTTTGCCACCTCTGCCCTAGCTGGGGGAACGAGGGCCATAATTGAAAATTATTTATTCATGACCAGATCGCACCAGGCACATTTTCTGCCAAATTTACCCATAATGTTTATGCACCATTTTCAAGCTCTGTAAATTTTACGTTCCAGTCAATGCTTTGCAGTGCAAAAGCAGATAGCAGCAGCTCTTTCCACTAATTAACTCAGGAGATGTGTTCATGCCCCAGGAAGACTCCTGCAGCTGGGGAACATGTGAATATCCCGGGAACATGCCAGCAACTGGGGAACATATCAACATTCCTGGAGAATGACAGCTTCTGGTACAATACAGTAAGCCCACTAGTATCTAGTGGGGATCCTGCCACAGCCCAGGAAACGAGCATTCGGGGAGTCCCCTAAGGAACTTCTCTCACAGGAATAGAAAAGGTACCTGAAGTCACCTGATGGCTGAGCTCTCCACCCCCCACCTTCGCACCCAGCCCTACCCGGGACTTCTCCTCCAGCCGCGTCATCATGACCACGGTGGCTGTGCGCTGCTCCCACACCATCCGCCAGAAATCGCCCATGGTCTCGGGCAGTGGGCCCTGCGTGGCGATGTAGGCGTTCTGCTTGCGGTAGCCGTCGATGTAGTTGGCGTTGATGTAATCACTCCCCGGGACACCTGCGGACAGGAGGGGACAGGACCGGGGTGGGGGTGGGGGTCAGGCATTACACCCAGCACGCTGTACCCTCACGCACCCCTGGGATGCATGTATCCCTGTAGGAAGAAAGGTTACGAGTCCGAACCAGCGAGAGGGAAGAGAAGAAGGGGCGGAGGGCCCACCCTCGGCTCACCATCAATGGAGGTGAGGATGACCCGCGAGTGGTCGTAGGCGATGACGTTGGCGTAGCGGTTCTTGGGCTTGTTCACCTCCAGGTTGGAATTCTCCCACGTGAACTGTTGTCCAGGGTCAATGGACTGCAGAGCAAGCAGGCGGGTGATGAGGGTAAGGCCTGTTGCTTCCGAGGCTGGGGGCCCAGCCTCCTGGGTGGTGCCACATTCTGCCTTTGCGCGAAGCTACGGCCATCCCACCACTATTACTGGCTGCTGCTGGTGAAGGGGGGCAGCAGCTTGCCCAGCCATGGAGCTGAGCAGCACCCTCATCGCTTGTCAGGGGCCATGGACCAGACTTCTGATTATGGTACCAAATCCCCTTGCCCCATGGAGTGCTCAGGATGGGTGGGGGCCCCCAAATGGAAAAACGAGGGTGTGCAGGACAACTTGGAAACTACTGTAGTCAGCTCTGCAACACCCCATGCTGGGAAACCTTTGTCCGTCCCCTCCCACCGCTCCGGCTGTCCCTTCTTTGTCTCCTCCCCTTCCACCAGGCCTCCCCGCAGGCAGGAAGCAGAGCTCCTCCTGGGGTCACTCCAGGGCCTTCTTTCTAAGTGCACCCCGGAGTCTCCCTGAGCGCCTGATGGGAACAACCACCACCTGGAGGCCCCCTAGTTCCCTCCATCTCAACCTTTGCCAAGCCGAGTTCCTCAGCTTTCCCTCCAAACCCGTCTCTGCTGCTGGGGGGCCGTCTCTGAAAGGCATCACCACCCGTTTACCCAAAAGCCCTGGTCAAGACCTATTGACCCACAAAACCCCTCTGTGCCCCAATCCTGTCAGTCATTATGTCCTGGGCTGCCCTGAGGTTCTCCCCAACCCGCTGCCAGGGGCCTCGTCCAGGTAACCCCAATGCAGACGTGGCATCTCCCTGCTTCTGTTTCTGCCCCACTCTATCCTACAGCTAGAACAATCCTTATAAAACACAGATCTGATTATCAGTTTCCTGCCTAAAGGCCTCCCCTGGTTCCTCACCAGCTCAGTGGATAACGTCAAGAGCAGGTTCTTTGTGAGAACTTACTGTGTGCTTGGCAATAGTCTAAGCACTCGTGTGTATTCCTTCGTCTAACCCTCCCATGAGACAGGCTCTATTAATATCCTCCTTGCCCAGATGGATACCACCCAGACTTCTCAGCACGGCACACAGCACACAGCATCCCCAGGTTCTGGTGCCAGCTCGCCCATCGCCGCTGGTCAGCACGCATGGCTTCCGGGAGACCCCAGTCACCCGGTCCTCAGCCTGCTTCCCTTCTCCACACGCCTGTCATCTGTAACACTGGGGGGCATGTTGTTACAGTCACTTGTCTCCCCACTGACTGAGCTCTGGGTGCACTTCACTCCACATCTCCAGCACCTGGCAAGGGACTGGCACCTAGTCAGTGCCCAGCAAATGTGCGGTGACCAGTCATCAAGGGGAAGGGAAGCCTCTGGCTGAGGGAAAGCCACAGCAGTCTTGGGAGACCAGAGCACCCAGGCTTGGGGGCTCCTAGGAGAACTTGGAGGGGAGGATAAAAGTGGGTGAGCTCTGAGCGAGACAGGAGGCCCGGGGCCTCACTGCAGGAAAGCAGGGAGGGGACCTGGGAAGGGATGAGTGCGGGCACAAGGGCGTGGAAGGCCCTCCTTCCGGCCGAGCAGCTGAAGGCTGGAGTCGCTCCCTGCACAGCTTTATGCAAAGCAGGCCCCGTGGGTTTGCCATCGGTCGGCAGCATGCATCCCCCACCGCGGACCAGCTCATCAATTTGCCTGCCAAGCTCAATTTCCTCTGCAGAAACCTGGCACACAGCTTTTGGAAGGGGAATTTTGGTACCAGGACCCTGGGCATCAGACTAGAAGTGGGGCACACTCCTAAGTTATGCTAGCCTAGCGCATCAATCACCTATCCATCTGTCATCGACTGGGGGGTGAATCCTGGGCCAGGCCTGCACCCTGGGAAGCCAGGGGCCGAGGCATAACAACATCTCTGCCTGTGCTCCCTAGGGTGGGCTCCTCTTTACCACCTTCTCCAGCAAATTCCCTCTGGAGCTGGGTGGCTTGGAAGCCGTGAGACGCCAGGGTGGGAGAATAGCCCTCTGAAGGCAGAGCCCCCAACAAGCAGGTAGGAGTCTAGGCCAGAGGGCAGTGAGCATGTGGGGGTACTGAGCAGGTAGCTTTGTGCAGCCCACCAGCGAGCAGGCCTAGGCTTGAGTCTTGGCGATAGGACGCATCAGCTGTGTGACCTAGGGCAAGTCCTGCCCTTGAGCCTTAGCATCCTTACTGTACGATGGCATAACGACAGTACTCTACAGCCATCAGGAGAACGGAACGAGATAACATATGTACGGACCCTGCGGGCAATGGCCAGCAGCAAATGCTCCCTAGATGCCAGGCATGGTCGATCTGTGCGCACAGATTTTGCCTGCTTCAGTTAGCATCTGGGCGTGAGTCTGAACGTCTAGACCTGGGGGTGTGGAGGGGGCTCAGTACCTGAGAAGTCGAGCTCTCCCTTGTGTCCTGGGGCAGCCTGGAGCACTCCCCCTCCTGAGGTAGGTAGGGCAGGGCCGGCAGGGGCCTGACAGGCCAGGCACGTGGCGGGGAGCCAGGGGGCGGGGGGGAGGGCTCACCTCGTATTCCTGGGAGAACTTGAGGCCATCGTTGGCTTTGAGGCGCTCGATGTTGTCTGCCAGGTCGGTGATGGGGATGGGTGGGTGGTCTCGCATACCTGGGGGAGGCGGGAGACAGTCAGGTGAGGTGAGGCCAGGGCGGTGGGGACAGCCTCAGCGCATGTATGTGTACATGTGAACACGTGTGACCATGGAGCGCTCGGCACCAGTGGCATGGAGAAGGTGGCACATGCGGCGACAGAGATGGCGGAGCACACGGTGGCTGGGGGCGGGACGGGACAGAGCGGGAGGGCGCCGTGGGCCCGAGTCAGCACGTCTGGGACACAGCGCTGAGCGGGGCGCGGGGCCTCCTGGCGGGTCCTTAAGAGAAGGAGTGGCTTCCTCCACCCAGGCCAGGGCGGGGTGACAAGGAGGGGGCTGGGGGCTTCTTCGGCTGGCAGAGTGGCCCACGGGCCCTGCCTGCCTACGCGCAGCCCCGCGGCCCCTCACTGGCGCCAGTCACCACGGGAGACTCAGCGACACCGTCACCCCAGCACCGAGTGTGTGGATGGAGTGGTCACAGAGTACAGGGGTGTGCGGTGACACGGGAGAACTCGGAGAAGCGGAGATGAGGAAGGAGACAGAGAGATGAGGCAGGCGAGGCACCCAGACAGGTGTCAGCCAGAGACTGGAGGTGAGAGGACAGCGAGACAGACCAGCAGGAGGGACAGAGGCTGGAGGAGCGAGTAGGGCGAGTGGAGGGTGGAGGAGGAGGACAAGGAGAGAGCAGGAAGGGAGACAGAGAGAGGAAGCGGGGGAGAGGAATTCAGGGAGGGAGGCGATGGGTGGGTGGGGAAAAGTAGAAGGAACGGACACAGAAGCCAAAGGAGCCCCCAAAAACGGGAACTTGGAAAACTAACTTGAGATATTCGGGCAACTGGGGACACTGGAACCTGCAGAGAAAAGAAAACAGAAGTGGGGCAAGAGAAGAGGCCATGTGCTTGTGTCGCTGCGGACACACGGAGGGTGTGAAGGGCCGCGTGGGCTGGGGCAGGGGCTGGCAGGAGGAGGGGGCGGTGGGGCACCGGGCTGTGGGCAGGTCCCACACGGCTCCCCGTCTCCCGGGTACAGGCGGAACTTGCACCCCGGCGTCGAACGCCACCGCCAAAGGCCACCGAGTCTCATCCCTCCTTTCCCTTCAGTCTTGGAGGAATCTTTTTCTAGGACTAAGTTCTAGTCCAAACCAAAGTTCATCTCTTCTGGTGTCCAGCTTTGACCCTGGATATGTTCAGAGGACTTGGCACACGGCCAGCATGCTTTCAGAGAGCGACGACGCACACGGGCAAGCCACAGAGGGCCGGTGTGCGCGAGGCTGTGCCGACGATGACTGTGCTTTCAGCTTAGCCGTGGGTTTCAAAATTTTCAGGACAAAAATTAAATTATAAGAGGAAAAAAATGTTGACTGAACTACAAAGTGAAAAAAAGGACCTGGAAGAAACCTTCGCGGTGAAGAGCGCCTCCAGCCCCCGGCTGCCCCTCCATCTCCTCAGGGTGCTTCGCTCAACCCTCACAGCACCGCTGTCGACAGGGGTCCCTCGTGCACCCCGGCCTGACCCCGGGTACGGCCTCTGCCACCGCCAAAGGCCACCGAGTCTCATCCCTCCTTTCCCTTCAGGTCCCTGCTATTTCCAGTAGGTCCCAGCAGCCGCCGGGGTTCAGGTGCCTGGGGCCCTCGCCTCCTTTGCCAGACAGTATGATGAAGGAACAATATGAAGAAATCGAAAATGATGAATTATCTTGAGGCTATTAGTCTCGGCAGCCCCCAGGCACACCTGCCCAGTGCACACCCCCAGCCAGGCTCGCAGGGCCTCGCTCTAGCTCCCTGCTCCTGTTTTCCCAGAGAAACAGCCAGCAGGCGAGAGTTCCAGAACTGTTCCCTTGCCACTGACTTGACTGTCCCCCAACCTATCGGTGGCCTGGAGCTCACAGTGGGGAGCCCCACACCCTAACCCCCCGCTGTCACACCCTGCGCCCCGGCCTCTGGAGCCCTGTCTTCCGGCGCCAACTCCCGCCGCTCACTTCAGCGGTCCCTGGACTGTGGCCCAGACAGTGTCCACACTGGAGGAAAAATGAATCCTACCCCAACCCTGCCTCCGCCTCTCCTTCCCTGCTGCCACCCAGGCCTCTGGAAGGGTTTACCTGCCCAGTGCTGCCTCACAGCACCCCTACCCACCCAAGAGCCGGTGCCCCACTCTGGGTCGCTACTTCAGTCACCAAAACGCTCCCTGGCCTGGGCTTCAGGACCCCCGCTCACTGGCCCGCCTTCCTACTCTCCAGCGCCCCCTCACCACCCTCAGCACTCTGCCTCTTCCCAGGGCTCCTCTCTCGGCCCCTCTCAACCTCATGCTCTCCTGGGAGGGGCCATCTGCTCCTGCACCGGCTGCCCCAAGCTCCTCAGCACCTCCCATGCTCCTGGTTCCGGCAGATGTCAAGAGAGGTCCTGACCCACAGAGTCCATGGCTGCAGGACCTCCCCCACGCCCGGCCCACTGCTTAGTGGCAGCCTGGGAAACGCCCAGGCAACAGCCTCCTCACTCCGCCTCCTCACTCCAGGCCTGTCAAGCCCAGGCTGTGCTTCACGCCCCCCACCGCCCCCCAGGTCCTCAGCAGCCCACTCACTCGGCCTTCTGAACAGTCGCCCTCCCCAGTTCCGTCATCGCCACCAGGTAGCCAAAGCGCTATTCTAAAGTCCAATGCTAACCGAACGGTCACTCTGCTGAAAGCCTACAAGATTTCTCTGGTCCTTCCACAGTGAGGTCCACCCCGAGTCTCGTACTTGGGTTCCTGACTGGACCCCTGCCTCGTGCTCCGGTCTCCTCTCAGCACTCCAATACCCCAACTTCAATGCTGCAGAACTTCAGCACTTCTGGAGTGCCATTTCCCACCACGGCGGCACCCTCCCAACCCGCTTCCTCTGACTAATGCCCGCATGGCTTGGCATTCCTTGTTGGAGGAGGCTGCTATGCCCTCAGACCCCCCACATCCTGGAGCTGATTCCTCACAGATCTGAACATGCCAGGTTGCACCAGCCTGTCAGATCTACCCAGCTCATTCTCCCCCCTAAGATCTGTGCCCCTGGAACTCAGTCGCATGTGTGAGGAAGCATCGCAGGCGGCTGTCACCGCCGGCAGCCCCAGGTGGGCTCCCAGCATCAGACCTGCGAATGAATGTGTGGCCAGAATTCAGGGGTCAGCACTGTTCTGATAAAAGGTCAGACAGCGAATTGTTTAGGCTCTGCGGACAGAAGACATCTGTCCCATCAGCTTAACTCTGTAGCACGCAGGCAGCCATAGGTGGTACATAAATGAAAGGGCATGGCTGCGTTCCAATAAAACTTTATTTGCAAAATCAAGTGGTGGGCCCTACCTGGCCATTGGCCATCGCTTGTTCACCCCTGATTTAAATGACTTTAACTCACAGCCTGCTTTAAATCTTCTGGCTGAGGGCTCAGACATTCAGAAATAGAGACAAGCTGTTCCTGCTGTGCTCCTGTCTGAATTTTTAGCTCACAAAAACTGTGAGAGATAATACATAATTATTGTTGCTTTAAAGTCATTAAGTTTGGGGGTAATTTAATATGCAGTAAAAACCAGCTCACATCTACACAACCCTGTGTGTCTGTTATCACTCATTCATTCAGCAGTCTGTGGTGTTTCGTGGGCATTCAACAGGAACCTGCCTTGTGCACAGCGTCGGGGGTGAGGGGAACAAGATGCAGCAACCAGAGCCTCAGATACAGACTGGCATGGGTGAGAGGCGTCGTGATGGGAGAAACAGAGATCCTGGGAGATGAGGGGAGACGCCCAGGCCGGGGGGCGGTGTTTAGGGGGCCTAGGAGACTTCACCCAGGAGGTCTGTGCTGTATCTGCTCAGGCATGGGGGAGAAGCGACACTTCAAGTATGAAGAACAGAGGGACGTGAGAGTGGCTGGAAAGGCAGTCAGGCGTCAGGTCCTGTCCTGCTCACGTGGGGACGGCCTCGAGGAGGGGCGAGATGCGGGCACCCCGTCCCCACAAGTGACTGCTGGGGCATTTCCCAAAAGCATGCCTTTCTCGTGAGGGGCCAGAGTGTGAGCCTGATGCGGGCCACCCCATGGCTGGGATATAGGCTCCATGAGCCCATATGCAGAGGCCCTGTCCCAAGACGAGGAAGGGACAAGCAGCCAGAACTCCCCCAAGGCACCCAGGGGCGACTGTGCAGGTAGACGCCCCTCAGTCACATCAACTGAGTGAACAGGGACACAGAGAAGGCAAAAAGGCAGAACAGGAAATGGGGTCATGAGGCCAGGGCCCCTGGGTGGGGCCCCTGGGGACCCTTTTCGCCTGGACTGAGAGTCGCCCTACCTGGTGTCTGGTAGTTGAGCCTCCGCATCTCCACGGGGTCAGAGGAGTGGGCCAGCAGGGAGTCCTTCAGTCCGATCGACTGCTCGTCCTTGGATGACGGGGAGTGGGTCCTTTTCCTAAAGAGGCGGAAAAGGGAGATTGGTGAGAACTTGAGGTTGGGGCAGCAGACAGAGAAGCCTGGTATGCAGAACTGCCACAGAGCCCTGGCCCCTGCCCACCTGGGGGTCTGGGCGCCTGAGGGAGCCAGGAGATAACACAGGTGGGGCACGGGGAGGCAGCGGGAGTGGGGGGACGGTAGGTGCAGCAAGGGCAGGCGTGGCAGAGGCTGGGGGCTCCTTCAGACGGAGGGCCAGTCACTGCTGGGCAATGGCTGCTGTCCCCAGGGCAGCAGGAGCCACAGGGACAAACATGCAGATGCCACAGAGCTACGCAAACAATACAGGGAGCTGAGCCCCAGCTGTCTGGCTCTCAGGGGGTCAGGTCAATGTCCGGAACAGCAAGGGAGGGACAGGGAAGGCGTCACCCCAGCTGGACGGAGTCCTCCTCCCTCCCTGGCTTCAGTCGCCCTGTCTGTAAGGACAGGGGCAGAGGAGACTATGGGGTCCAGCTACTGGCAAATGTCTCGGGGCAGCTTCTGCCTGGAGGACATGTGCCTTGGGGGGAAGCTATGTGCGTGTGCGTGAGTGTGTAGCAGCACACTTCTCACTGCTCTGGAGTCACTATTTTGCACATAAGCGAGACTCTGCCTCTCGTGGTCCTCAGCAATCTCAGCGGACTGGGAGCCCGGTGGAAGGTGCCGGTGAGCTCAATCTGTGCACGCAGGGAGGCACCGCAAGTCTGCACTGCGCCTGCGCCCTCGGGAAGGGACAGCCCTGTGCAGGTGCAAGTCGAGAGTGACAGGGCCTGCCCTGGAGCCAGCTGAGCTGACTGGACACCACAGGCCAGGAGCCTCTGGGTCAAAGCACCGCCCCTCCCTGCTGGCCCGAAATGCACAGGAGTAATTAGTGAAGGGGGAGGCGTGTGAAGAGAGAAGGAAGGACTCCTACCTTTCTTGTTTACTAGGTCCCGACAGACAGGCAAGGACAGAAGAAAGGAACGGTCACTGTTTCCGCTGAGCACTCAGGCCCTCTCGGGCACGGTGGATACTGTGGGACTGGCCCCTGGCACCCACCGACTACTCACAGAGAGGCTGTGCCTCTCCTGACAGACACCCGGACCCCGATGGGAGTGGAAGGAGGGTGTGTGTGGGGGCACTCCTCGGCTGGCTCCCCACCCTCAGGTCTCCACTCCAGGAGGAAGGTGCTCCTGAACCTGGAGGGAAGGTGCCACCTGCAGGCAGGAGGCGCTGGGGCGGGGGCGCAGGAACCGGTAACCACATGAGCTCGGACACAGGACCCACACGGGCTCACTGACAAGTCGGTGGCTTCAGTCTGGAGCTGGGTGCTGGGAAAGCAGGCCCAGCTGTTTCCCCACGTCTAGGGAAGATGAAGGACAGTGTGAGGAAGTGTGGGAGCAGAGCGCTTCGTGGGGGAGCCTGGAAGAGTCCTGAGGGAGGAGGCGGCAGCTGCCAGGTGGGCAGGAAGAGGGAGCGCTGCAGGGCACGGCCCAAGCGGCTGGGAACTGCACTCGTCCGTGCGACAACAGCGGGTGGCGGAAGGGGCCGACCCCCTGCGTGCCTGACCGGCAGGACAACACGGGGGGCTTCAGCTGAAGAGCCACGAAGAATTTCAAATGGGAGGTGACAAAGTTAAGGTTCTGGACACACTTTTTAGGCGGACAGGTGAAAAGAGGAAGGAGCGACTCGAAGAGCAGGTGGCTGCAACCACCCGAGGGAGGGACCAAGATCTGCCGTGTGCCAGGTCCCCAGCTACACCTACTCGCGCTATCTTGTGGGAAGCCTGCCTGGGACAGGGAGGGGGCGCAGATCCAGCGACAGGCAGGCCGGGACTCGCCAGAGACGGTGGAGCAAGAGGGAGGCGGTGGGTGGAGGGACACTCGGGTGTCTGCGTGGATGGGCCACTGTGGTCAGGACTTTGGGGAGGACGGGCGCAGGAAGGTCCAGACAGAGTGAGCAGCTACAGATGCTGTGGTGCTAGCAAGCACTCAGGAAGTGTCTGCCAGGTGTGTCCATGGACAGGTGGACCTGCAGCTGGGTCTGGACTCTCTAGCCTAAGCAGGAGAGCCAAGCTGGGATCTAGAAGTGGTAGAGAAAGTGCTGACGAAGGTCAGGAGAGGGCGGTGTGTTAAAGCTGAGAGACGGACACGTTCACTGAAACAGAGACAGACACAGACAGCAGACACGCCCCGGGGTGCATGAAGCAGCCCCCAGTGAGCGGCGCGGCGCCTCTCAAACCCAGGCTAAGTGCGAGCCTGTGGACACTCTGCTGCCGTCCTTCCCGGCGTCCTGCGGAGACCAGGGCTGCGATGCGGCCTGGCGTGGCTGCGTGCAACCTCCACACACCATGGGCGGCACCATGGGCCTGAGGCCAGGGGTAGTTGGCCCTCCCTGGAGGTCCAGGGTAGCACTCACCTCTTGAACAGGAGGATGGCAATTACGATGAGGATGATGAGGATGACCGCCAGGACGGGGCCGGTCACCCACAGCATCTCGGGCTCCTCCTGCTGCTGGGCTGTTGTCACCTGGACCACGATCTCATCGGAGTAAGGGCTCGAGGCATAGCGCTTCTGCGGGGAAGAAGACAGCATGGGCAGTGAGTTCAGCTGGCACTCCCCTGCCCACTGCCCACCACTGCTGGAGAAAGGGCTCTGGGGCGGGGCGATACAGGGCTGGCCAGGCCTGGTCTCCAGGCTCTAAGAGGCCGAGGCGACCTAAGCCTAGTTAGCTGACTGTGCTGGCAGGGCAAGACTAGGTCTGGGGAACGGAGCCTGGAGATCCCTCGTGCGGCTCTGGGCGCTCAGGGCTGCTCCCGGACTGGGACATCACGAGTCTGAGGCTGGCTAGTCCAGGCCCGGCCCCGGGTCTCGGGGTGCTAAGAGCCCGCAGCTCAGGCAGACCTGATCCACAGGTTCCTTGAGGGAGGCGAGCACGAAGCACTGGTAGCTCAGGTCCGGAGAGAGGGGCCGGTTGTAGAAACCCTGGTAGTTCTTCTTGTCCCCGAGGGTGAAGGTCTCAGGGAGCACGTCCACCTGAGCGGCCACGTATGGCTTCAGCCGCTCTGTCTGCCGCCGCCGCCGCCGCCTCCCCTCTCCACTGCCCTGCTCGATGGCCTCCAAAAGCTGGTGGAGCAGACAAGGGAGTCAGGGGAGCCTCGGAGCAGAGGCCGCCGGCCCACAGCCTGGAACGCTGGCTACCTGGGCTGAGACACAGACTCGTGCCTGGGAAGAGGCCCAAGCCTCAGAATAATGCTGGACACGAGACGGGGCACCCCACCCTTCTCCACCGACTGGCTAAGTCGAGGCCCTCTGGGCAACCTGTCCCCCCCACCCCCGTGAACCAGAGAGGGCTAGTCCCACACCACTGTGAGAAGGGAATGGGGTTCATGTCCTAGGGGCTCCACCATAGCCCCCAGGACTCTAAATTCACAGGCTTCTAGTTTTCTAGATGCCCAGCGCTGTCTCTGCTTCTTCACACCCCAGGGAAGCCGCCGCAGACCCTCTCCAGGGGCTTCTCCTGTAAGCGCTGCAGGAGTTTCCTAAAAGCTCTCCGGGGGCCAGGCAGAGCCCGTCTCCAGAGAAGGGGCAGGCTGCTAGCCAGGGTGATTCCAGCTTGGGGAGACTTGCTGGGGTCATGGCCACTGCCCCATGCCGTCACCTCGTCCAGCTCCAGCTCGTCGGGGGTGTTCCATGGGGATGTCAGGATCCTCCCAGCCACACGGTCAATGGGCACCACCACGATGTAGAACCACCTGGACGGAGGGCCAGAGTCAGGATGCCAGAGCCTGAGCCCGCTCGGCCCCCCGCCCACCTCCCCGGGGCCTCGTCCGCGCACCGGATGAGTGAGGGGTCCTGCACGTGGGGCATGGACAGTGTGAAGCGCCCATCCTCGATGTAGGCAGAGGCCGGCATCGGCTTCTGTGTCAGGAGGTCGGGGGCCGTGCGGATGGACACCAGGTGCTGCAGGCCCCCCGCGCTGCTGCCACGGTTCATGAGCACGAACGAGTACTCTGTGTTCGGCTGCAGGTCTGCGATCAGCTTCCGCATGGAGTGCCCGTCCACCTCCACGCTCTGTCCGTTGTACAGGATCTGCGGGGGAGAGGCGTGGCAGAACAGCCGGGCGAGGTTCGCCCTCACGGGCAGGCCCTCACGCACACCCAGCCAGCACCCCGCTGCACAAACACGTGCGCTGGACTCCCGGCCTGAGCTGGGCTCTGCTGGCCGGGGCCCTCACTCACCTTGAAGGGTACAGTCGACTTGTAGGAGTCAGGCACCTCCCAGCTGAGCAGCACGGATGTCTTCATCGCGGCAGCCACACGGAAGTTCTTGGCGAATACTGCGGAACACAGGAAGGTCGGTCAGCTCTGGCCGTGCAACGGGATCAATGGGCCTGAAAGGTTCCTCACTCTTCAGAGACACTGGTCGGGGCACGGAGGACCGGGGATGGCTGCAGAGAATCCACACCCCTCTCCCAGCCAGCGGCACCTCACAGGCTTCAGTTCCCAGACCCCGTTCAACCGTGACACCAGTCGGGGCAGGTTCCACAGGACCCAAGGCCGGACTCTTGGGCAGGGCTTCGGTAAAGGCCGGAGCTCACAACTCCAGGTCAGAGCGACCCGGAGGTCAGTGGAGTCTGGCCATGAGAAATATGTGGCCGCACACCGGGCACAGAGGCACTGAGGTCAGGCCCGAGAAATTAGTGTCGCACACCCAGGAACGGAGCAGTCAGAAGAGAGCAGTGGGTTAAGGTCACGAGAGCGTAGAGCCGCATAGCAGAAGTCAGTAGGTCAAGGACAGCAGAGATCAGGGGTCACACACGGAGAACGTGGCGCCTGTTCACGAGAGGTTAGTTGTCATCATCATTAAAGACCGGAGGGTCGCACACCAGAAGCTGGCGGAGCAGTCGCCAGAGGACAGTGGGGCGAGGAGAGCAGAGATCCCCGGGGCCTCCACTGCCCACAGCACACACCTTGCACCACGGGCATGGTCCGGGACTGGATGCTGGGGCTGAGCGGGCCGGCGCCTTTGCTGGTGTGCGCGCGGACCTTGACGTCGTACGTGGTGTCCGGCTTGAGGCCGGAGAGTGTGAAGCGGGTGTCGGCAGTGACATTGTGCAGCTCCTGCTGGCTATTGATGTCGCGGTACACCACGGTGTAGGTGATGATGCGCCCGTTCCTCTCCGCCAGCACTGGGGGGTCCCAGGTCAGCTCTGTGGTGGTTGTGGTCAGCCCTACCACCTGCAGGTTTTGGGGGAAGCCACTGGGCGTGTCCTCGGGGGTTGTGATCTCCTTCTCGAACTCTTCTCCTGGGCCAGCCCGGTTCTTGGCAGCAAGCCGGAAGATGTAGGTGGCCCCCTTGTGCAGGCCGGTGACTGTGAAATGCTGGTCATCCTTGCCAAAATCTATGGTGTTGGGCCGCGCCTCATCCGCCCGGCGGTACTGCAGCCGGTAGCCCACCAGCTCGCCGGGCAGCTCCTTGGGTGGGTGCCACTGGAGCAGCGCCGTGTTCATGGCTGTGGTGCTGACCATCATGGTAGGCCGGCCTGGGACTGAACAACCAGGCACCAGGCTCTGGCGCTGCCCTCCTCGCCCCTGCCCTCAGCTGCCCGACCCCTCTCTCACCTGCCCCAGTCGTCGTGACAATCTTGGGCTTGCTTCGGGCACCGTCCCCTTTGGTGGTGTAGGCGGCGACGGTGATGGAGTAGGTGGTCTCTGGCGTCAGGCCGCTGATGGTGGTTTCCTAAGGGAGAAGTGGGAGGCCGTTCCCGTCACAGGAGGGCCAGAGGGGAGGGCACTGGGGCAGCGTCTCAGGGCCTGAGCTTCTGCGAGGGGGGCGGGGCTGTCTGGACTCCTCTGGAGGCTGGGCTGGCAGGTGAGGTGTGTGCCCAGGAAGACGGCGCCTGTCCCAGGAGCTGCCCGCCTGGGGCAGACAGCTTCCTTTCAGACCAGAACAAAGGGCACACTGTTCCCTTCCCCAGCGCACTGAGTGACGCCTGGAGGCACACACACGGCATGGAGCCTCGCACGCACACAGAGCCTTGCGTGGCTCACAGCACGTAACACACACAGCCTGCAGGCCGCCTCCGTAAGAGGTGGAAGGCCACCTGTAGACACACGTGACACACACACGGGAAGGTCGAGGGAGACCGAGGTGCCACCCCACAGGCCCAAGCCAGGCTCCACCTGATTCCCCTCTAGGCACTGGCTCCACGAAGGCGTCCTGCCTCCTGACTCAGGGAAGAGAAGCAAGGAGCACAGGGATCCCCAACCCCGGGGATGCATCTCTGCAGTGTCCCCGGCAATGCCTAGGAGTTCGGCCAGGGCAGCGCTCCCCCTCGCCTTGGCAGACCTTGCCCCTACGCCCACCTGCAGCCAAAGTATCATTTCTGGACATGCGGAGAAATACCACGGAGGCCAAGCCACACCACACAGAGGAAGAGTGGGAAGGAGGAAGAGGTCACCGTGCAGTGGGAACAGAGTGTCACCACCAGCCCTGGAGTCCCTCCAGCTCGGGCGGGGACCACCGCAGTCACGGGCCCCCGGCAGGCCCCTCCTCTCCTAGCCGGAGGGTCTCCCAGGGCCAGGGCTCCAGAACCACCAATGCCGGAACCCGCCTCCCCAGACGCCCCTCTCAGCCTGGGCCCAGAAGCAGGTGATTTTTCACTCCAGGGATCAATAAGGCCTAACGATCAGGATTGGATTTAACTCCAAGCCCGTCTGGCCAGAGCAGGGGCCAGGGCCTGGTCGATCACAAACATTGGACTCAAATTGCTGCTCGACAGGCGAGAAGTCAGGATTAAAGGAAATGCCAATCGCTGCTCAGCTCAGTGCTCGAGTCTGAACGCCAATTTTCTCGGGATGTGGCTGGTGCCCTGTGGATCTTGGTGGCTCAGGCTGGGAGGAGGGCGGGGAGGGGGAGTGTCCCAGGAGCCCAGCCTGACCAAGGCCCTCTCCGCGCCCGCACACCTGTTACTTACATAGTCCTCGGACTCCTCTGGCTGCCACTGAGCGCGGGGAAGGAGAGAAAGGGAGACAGGAAGTGAAGGACTCTGGTCTGGAGGGGTCTGGCCTGGGAAGGCCGACGGAGGGCATCGGCCTCCAAAGACACCAGGTTGGGCAGCATCCCTGGACCACTCACTGAAGTGTATGCACCCCACTGAGGACGGGAGACCTGTAGGACCGACAGCCGGGGGCGGGGCGCCCTGACAGAGTGAGCAGAGCACCACCCAGAGGGGCTTTAAGCCAGAGGCGACCGGACATGGGGGTGGCAGAGGTGGTGACATGAGGTGACTGCACACCCCGGGTGGCCGGGGCCGTCCTGGCCTATGTTCATCATGGTGTATTCATTCAGCATCTCTGCTCCAGCTGGAACAAAAGATTACACAGCTGGGTGGTGGCTGGAGTAGGGGGGAGGCAGCACGGCCTGGCCAGTTAGAGGAAGGCGCGAATGCCAGGCCGGGCCTGGGGCCCGCCTCACAGGCACAAGGAATCACTCAGACACCTGTGTCTTCTTCGAGGTGCTGAGAACCAATGTAGGAAGGCACTGTCGGGGCTGACAATGTCATTTCCTTAGACCCTGGTGCACGGAGGTACACTAGCTGGGAGGGTGAGGTGCGTGGTGTCTCCCCTTCACGGTCCTGGAGCACTAGAGGGAGGGGGGTGGCCGCCAGTGTCCAGTAATGCACTGGGAGACGGGCTGTGACGTCTCCAGGCCAGATGTTCCTCAGGGTCCTTGGGTCCACCCATGCTCTCAGAGCTGGGCTGAGGGGGCCCCCACTGGCCCGTTTCTGTGCTGGGAAACTGTGGGAAGTCCTCGTGAGGGGTGTGGAGCGAGACTCAGGAGGCCACCGGCAGGGGCCAGCAGCCACAGCCACCTTGCAGGATGTGGCTGGGCCCACCTCTGCTGAGCCCCTTGCCTGTCGAAGACCTGCACCGTCAAAGCCAGGCCTGGGCACGGAGGCCCTGTGGGCACCTCTCCTCTGGCAGGGGCAGAGGGCAGAAGGGAAAGAAAGAGGGTGAAGCCAAACGGAGAGAAAGAGGACTGAAGGGAGGACAGGAGAGAGGAGAGAACAAGACAGACAAAGAGGGAGGGGGTCAGTGAGAGGGAAAGACGGGGTGTGGAAAGAGCTGGAGGCCCACGCTAAAGGGGACAGGCTGGCTGTCCTTGCAAGGGGCACACAGCTCATGGCTCCCCAGACCTGAGGGCGCCCTGGGCTGAGCAGATGGTGCTGCTGGGCAAAGAACAGTCTCTGGTGTCCTTGCTCAGTGGGCAGCTGAGCCCCGTGGCCGGGTTGAGGGCCAGGCCCCATCTGCTCCCCTACTGGCTTAGAGCGGAACCATCCAGTCCCAAGGGGCCACAAGGGGCCCCCCTCCCACTCAACAGACATCCCTGGGGCCCAGGCTCATGCTTACCCCACCCCAGCATCATGGGGAGTCTGGGGCTGGACAACGCCCCTCCACCCTCAGCCCACAGCCCACATCCCTCAGCAGGGCTCCCTTTGGGCCCCCTAGGACCAGGAGGGGGCATCCGAAGCGATTTCTTTGTAACGGCCACTAGCTGCAGCTGTGCTGCTGGCCCGGAGGACGGGGGGCCAGGGGAGCCCATTCCCGGCATGTTCCGGGCGGGTGTGTCCACTGAGGAGCCCTCAACCTGCCTGAGGAATGCAGTGGGTACACACGTCGGCCTCCCCCACCCCGGCTCTCTCAGCACTGGGTAGGCTGAGAGCACGCCAAGAGCACCCTCTGGCCACAAAGGAATGCCGCCTCAGCGGGCTGAGCCCGGCCGGAGGCGGGGAGGCCCGCCCGTGTGGGTGAGCCCACTGTGGAACAGCACACGGAACACGGGGTGAGGCTGGACTTCCGACCCAGGCCAGTGTGGGGAGCGGGTGTGGGTTCTGGGGACAGGAGCGTCTTCCCCCAGGGCTGGCTTAGCTGTTCCCTGTGGGCCACCCCCCCGGCACTGACTGGATGGGGAGAAGAAGAGCAGATCACATACTAGCTGTCACGACTCCTCCGCTATTTTGAGAGAGAACTTGCCAGTACAGCCCTTCCCCGGGCACCCAGGGGCTTGGCTTCTCATCCCAGCCCAGTCCCCCACTTGCTGGGAAACTGTGGCCCACTCACATTCCCTCTGAGCCCGCCAAGTTCATCACTGGAACAGCAGGCCAGTGCTCTGAAAACCCCAGGGACCTCACCCCAAGGACGAAGTGTGGGCTGGCAGGCACGTCCAGCCTAGAATAAACACGGGGGGCTGGGCCGCCGCCCGGGCACCAGGCACGGGGCAACACCCCAGCATGGTCATTCACAGTCCTGTACAACGGCCAAGGGCCACACGGGGAAAGAGAACAGCCCGCGAGTCCCATCTTTGGCCAGGTGGCACTGGCCGCTCAGCCCAGCGCTGTCCAGAGAGATGGCACATCTCAGGCCCAGCCCAACAGTGACGGTGACTGCACCTCCTGCAGCCAGGAAGTTACAGGAGGGCACAGGAGGGCTGACCCCTGGGCAGGAGGGGGCAGTGGAGGCCCTGTCTGTGTAGACGGCTCTCACGGCTGGTGCTGGCAGCTGAGGCACACAGGGAGCGGCCAGCTGGAGCTGCCGCCAGGGCATTTGGGCTGGCAGGACTGGGGTGGCACCACTCAGGCGGACCGAAGGAGGGCGGGCTCCTGACCCACCTGGCCTAACTTCCTGGTCTCTGCGCCCCCCTCCCCGAAGCGGCAGGGTGCCTTGGCGTGCTCTGAGGACAGAAGAGAGCCCCCAAGACAAACACAATGCGCTGGCCTCCCTCCCCTCCAACCCCCTCCCGGTGGCACACCTGGGCCTCGGCCAGCATGACGTCCTGGATGATGGGTGCGCCACGGGGCTCGCCATTCTCTAGCCGCACGTAGGTGACCTGGTAGCCACGGATCTGGCCATGCTGCTTACTGGGGACAGGTAGCTTCCAGGAGACGCGCACCGCAGTGGAGTTCACCGGCTCTACCTCCACCTTCCGCGGTGGCCCGCTGGGCACTGGGGGCCAGGTAGAGAAGGAAGTCAGGCCTGGGGCACGGGTCCCAGCTCAGGTGGACACAGCACCCTCCAGGGCCTTGCCTTGCTACCCCACTGGCCCAGGAAAGGCCCTGACATAGTTTCTTGAGGCTGCCCCTGAAGATGAGCTTGGCAGGCTCCGTCGGAGACGGGAAGAGCCCAGGACCGGTCTGCCAGCCAAACCCCCTGGCCCAGGGCTACCTCACCCGGTGGGGGACTGGTGGGGTGGGGGGCTAGGAGGCAGCTGCCCCGGAGTCAACATGACCCGGTCTAGCTCCTCCAGGGCCCCTAGACCATCTTGTTGACTATTCTGTGCATCTCTTGCACCTTCCAGTCTTGACCTTTCTAATCCTGGTTGGATGCTGCTTCTTGAACTTCGGGTTGTAAGTTTCTAGCAGCGCCCAGCGGGGACAGGGGCCTGGGTGGTCCCTAAAACTCTCTCTCCAGCCTGGGTTGCAGTAGGAAGATGAGTCCCTGTGGGCTGGTGGGCGGCAAGGCCCTGGGGAAGCAGGCGGGTGGCGCCTCCCCTCCCGCCCTCCGGCCGCCTACCGTCTTCGTCCGTGCGCACCAGCACCGGGCTGCTCTCGGGGCCGGGGCCCACGTCTGTGTGCGCCCGCACCCACACCCGGTACTCCGTCCACTTCTCCAGGCCCACCAGGTCCCAGCTGGAGTAGTCGCGGCTGATGCCGTCCACCACATGCCGCCCTTGGTCCTCGCCGTCCACCGCCTCGTAGGCCACCGAGTACTGGGTGATAATGCCGTTGCGGCTGTCGGCCGGTGGCGGGACCCAACTTACCCGGATGGTGGTGGAGCCCGCACTCACACAGGTCACCTTCTGGGGAGGGGCGGAGGGGGCTGGGGAAGACAAATGAGGGGAAGCAGGCAGATGGGGCGTGGGGGTCACAGGCACGGCGAGCCGTCACAGAGGATGGGAGACTCACCCAGGCCGGCTGCTCCCCGAGAACGCAGGGCTCCCCCGGCCCCATCCCCGACCTCCCCCCGCCCGCCCCGGGCTGGCTGCCGCCATTGCCGCCAGACAAATCCGCTTCCTCCGGACCACGGGCTCTTCTCACGTCAGGACACACGCGCACAGTCTCCCACACACATATGGCGTCTCTCACACATAGGGGACTCCAACACGTTTCACACACGCATATGCTGTCTCGCACACAACACACACGGCACCACACGCACAGGCCGAGGGCCGCACCACGAGCTCCCCCGAGACCACCTCTCTTCTCAGGACAGACGGCCCCAGGGCTCCCCCAGGGCAAGGCTGCCGTGGCCTGTGCCTGGCCGAAAGGCTGTGCCCAAGGCACAGGGACCCACAGTGGGAGGTCGGACACGGGGGGGGGGGGCGGCGGATGGCCCCGGGAGTAGCTTAGGGAAAGGTGCCCACAGAGGCGCTCTCTTTCAACAAGGGCCTGTGCCTGCCTTGTTCCCGGTGACATCCTGGACCCCATTCCAGAGGGCTGTGCTACCGTCTCTGGTCTGCACCACCCCTGCTTTGGTGACTTCAGGCCGCTCAACCCCTGGTCCCAGAGCTCCTCACCTCCAAGACTGTCTCCTCCCCTGCAGTGCTCAGGAATATCCTGGATGTCACCACTACCGGAACGGCCCCAACCCCCAACCGTGGCCCTCGACACCCCCTCACAGAGCCTTGCCTTCCGCCCCAGATCAGCTGCCTCAAGCCCCCAGCACGGTGCCTGTCTGTCACCCTCCATCCTTCCCACCCTCCACATTCAGCGGAGATGCCAAGGACCACACCTCAGCACTGTTTTCAACATGCCAAACTCCCTCAGCCTCCACAACCCGTCCTCGGCCAGCCCATCAGCTCTGAAAGGGCTCAAGACCCCGCCCTCACCAGGTGGCACTGGGCAGGCTGGCGGGCTGTGAGCACATGCCCTGGGCGCACCTGGGCCTCGCACTGACCGCTGGGCTGCCCCTACGCAGCTCACTCGGCCGCTTGCCACAATGCTGGCCCCTCCCCGCCCACTCCCTGGAGCATGACGGTGCCCCCACCGCGCAGAGGTGACCAAAGCCCCCCAGTAGCAAACGCCTCCCTTCCTTGCTACCCAGCAACCCGCATGTACACCCCTTCTTTCCTGCCTCCAGCAGGAGCAGAGAGGCGTGTTCTCTCATCCAAGGCTCTCCCCCCATGGCTTCCAATCGGCTCTGTCCCTTGCCGCATCTGAACTCACACCCAGGTGCGCTCCTGTGCTTTGGCCACTCAGCAACACCATCTGGCCTGGATGAAACTCTTTAGACACAGCAAAGACACCCCCTCTTTCCTGGACTTCTACCCCACTCACTTCTCCTGCCAAGCATCACCATAGCACAGGATGAACCTGGGTGCCCGGAGGCCTGCTGGGTTCTCCACACTGGCGTCCTGCTTCTCCTGGCTCTAGACGCCAGAAGCACAGCATTCGCCCTCCCCTCACAGTGCCCTGCCAATCTTCACCATGTCCCAGCCAGGAGCATCCCAGAAGCCCTGAAATCCACCAGCACTGGCTCATCTGAGCCTCCCTGTGCTGCAAAGTCGAGCTGGTGTCCAGCATCCTCTCGGGCTGCCTGACTCCGTCTCGCATGGCAGCTCCCTGCTCTCTGTCCCAGAGGTCCCTCACTGCTGTGTTCTGGTGGCTGCTCCAGCCACATGGCCTACTGCTACCCAGACTGAGCACCTCGTGCCTCGGGGTCTTTGCGCCTCTGGCCCAGCCTCCCTGGCTTCTCAAACTAGGTGAGATTCCTGCCCAATCACCTCGACTCTGCACGCTCATAGCACTTTGCACAAATGTCATTAAAAGGTCATTTGTGTAATTGCAGGTTTAATGCCTGTTTGCCCCCCACCCCGGGGCGTAGGATGCCCACGGCAGAGGTCACGTTAGGGTTGCCTGCCAGTGTCGAACTGTGCTTGTGGAAGGACCCAGGAGCGTCAGTCAGGTCGCGCATGGCCTCCTGAAGTCACTGGGATGTGTGCACACACTCCCGTGTCCCGTGGACAACCTCATCACTACGCCTAAGGCCTCAGGTCATCCACACGTGGTCACTGTCTTGATCCCAGTACCCCCATACCTAGGGCCCTGTTATCCCTCAGACAGGGGCGGTTGCTGCGATATAGCCCTGGGCTCAGGACAAGCGCAGACCGCAGTGGTCACAGCCGAGGAACACGTGCCAGTACTCACACTAAGAACAGTCTTACAGGCCCATCCAGGGACTCGCTGACACACAGTGCCACGGGGCCAGGTAGTGAGATGTGGCCACACACACTCACTGCGTCAGCCTCTCACACAAACATCGTAACACATGCCACGGGGTGGTGACACGGAGGACCTCACAGACGGCTCCACAGATGGACACGTGGCCCACACACGGGCCAGCGCTTGTTCACACGGTCCCGTTTTTCATGAATGTGTCCCTGTGTGCGGCTGGCTCGGGGGATTATGTGGCCCACTTACATCTCACGGTGGGCACACAAGTTGGGGACGTGGGTGACAGGTGAGATGAGAGGTGGGGGTGTGGGGAGGGAAGACAGCTGCCAAGGCAGGTCTGAGATGTGACGGTCCTGCCACTGAGGATGGCGCAGTCGGTGGGGATGACCAGTGTGGGGGGTGGAGGAAGGAGATGAGCCACAACACAGAACTTACCTGGGTGGGGGGAGGGGGCCTTGGGAGGGGGGCAGAAGTCAGGCAGGGTGCAGTGAGGGCGGCAGCCGCCTCGACACAGTTTACAGGGCACTTACCTGTCCCGCTCTCGGGGTCCGGACCTGGAGCCCAGACCAGAGTGCCCAGCAGATCTGACCTCCCACCTGCTCTAGGGGAGGGGTCGTATGTGTCTGCCCCAGCCCAGCTGTAGCAGGTGGCCTCAGGAGACACTTACTGGACTGTGCCGTGCGGGCCTCAATGGTGGGGGTGAAGACCCCCACCCCCATGTCCGAGCGGGCAGCCAGCTGGAAGTGGTACAGCGTATCAGGCTTCAGGTCCTCTAGGGTGTAGGAGGAGGTGGGGTCGAAGGTCACCTTGTGCTGGAAGAGCAGGGAGCACTCACTGACGATGCTGACCTCAAAGGCCACTCAAGGTCATTCCCCCACGTGGGCCGCAGCGGACACCCCAGGCCCAGTGTGGCTTGGGGGCTGGCTCCCTGCCACACGGCCAGCTCGACCACACAGGTTATGCCAGAGGCACCTCACAGGTCACATGCCACAGAACACCTGAGACCTGTGGCTCCAGGGGGAAGTCTGGGCTCTGCAGGTGCCTCGTGAGCCAGCGCCTAGGAGACCCAGGGCAGCGGTGACACAGGCCGCACAAGAGCTCCAAAGCCCCAACGAGAACCCCTGGGGCCGTGCCTGCTGAGGCTCCAGGAAGCCTGCCTCGTATGCCCCTCACAGACCTCGAGCGCCCAGGAGGGGCCTCCTCCCTTTCCCCGCCCCACCGGACACCCACCTGCTGGTCCTCGTCCTCTGCGACCCAGTACACCAGCTCATACTTGACGATCCGCTCCTGCGGAGGCAGCAGCCACGAGAGCTGGATCCTGGTGTCCGACTCGGCCTCGGCCTGGAAGTCCGTGGGCTGGGCGGGCACTGCAACAGCCCCCGCCCGGTACCATCAGCCGGGCAGAGGCACCGGCGAAAGGAGGAGGGGAAGGCGGCGCTCACCCCCACACCCGTCCTGCATCCCAACTGAGCACGAATCTGGGATACGAGGCCCTCACGCTCCCAGAGCCCCCAGGCTCACGGCTCAGGGAGGAGCCCCCACGGCCTCGCCCACCCTGGCACCAGGGTGCTGCCCGCACCTACCTCCCTGCTGCGTCTTGACCTGGATGGCGGGGCTGGGTGGGCCGTCCCCCACAGCGGTGAAGGCCAGGACGCGCAGACTGTAGGTGATGCCGGGCAGCAGGCTGCCCACGGTGGTGAGGAGCCCGGCGTCCGTGTTGTGCTTGTGCCAGGCACTCAGCGGCCGGCGGGCGTCAGGCGTGTAGTAGACGCGGTACCCCCGCACCAGCCCATTGGGCTCCTCGGGCGGCTCCCACTGCACCAGCATGGTGCTGGCGCTCAGCATGCGTGCCTGGACGCGGCGAGGGGGGCTGGAGGGCGCCTGCTCCCCGGTGCGCGCCCGCACCGCCTCGCTGGGGGGTCCGCGCCCAATGCTGTTGACCGCCAGCACGCGGAAGGCGTACTCCGAGAACGGGCTGAGGCCGCCGATGCTGTAGCGGGTGGTGGCCACGCCGTCCACCTCCTGGAAGGGGCCCTCCGTGCCTGCAGCCCGGTACTGGATGCCGTAGTAGGACACAGGCTCTGAATTCCCAGAGTCCCAGGTCAGGGTGACGCTGGTGGCCGTCGTCTCTGTGACCACAAGGTCGATTGGAGGCTTTGGTAGAGCTGGAGGCAAAGACGAAAGCTGGGGGCGGCCGACAGTCGCGAGCCCAGGCGTCAGCCCCGCCCCCGCGGCCACTCAACCCCAGTGCGCCGACTCCAGTCCACCTTGAAGACTAGGCTAGAGAGCGTACGGCGACTCAGAGGGCACCTGGTGGGGGTGGCGGCTGTGCTCATGTAGCCCTGGGCCACCTAGCGTCTGCGCACATCACTCTGGGACCCGCCTGACCCTACCGACCTCAGTCTGTGACTCGTCCACAAGCAGACCCAGAAGTGGCGGCCCTGCCTGGGTCCCCTGCAGGTGGAAAGCAGACAGGGGAGCACAGAACTGCCCCTGCGGCTCATCACCTCACCTGCTGGCCACAGTACTAGGCTAGGGAGGGAGGTGGTTTCCCAAAGGAAGGACCCTAGCTTTTAGAAAGGGGCAGCAGGGGTGCTGGCCTCAGACCCTATGGCATGACGCAAATAGGGTCAACAATTAAGAGTGCCCACCGCGGGCCAGGCACTGTGCTAGGAGTGGGGACACACTGTCACTGTCGCAATTCGCCCCTGCGCTCCTGCAGTTTATATTCCAGGAAGGGAGGGTTGGTGGGGAAGGGCACGCTGGGCTAGTGCAAGGACAGCAGAAAGGCGGTGCTGAGATGGGCATCGAGCCCAGGGAACCTCCCTGGGCAGTGACCGGGAAGGTCTCACAGAGCTGAGATACAGCCAATGGTCACTTGTGTGTGACCCTGGGCCTCAGGTCTCTCGCTTGTAAAACGGGGGTGATGCGTTCATCTGTCTCCCAGGTGACGAGACCGAAGAAAACACTCTGCGCTTACCGGTACCTGCCCCTGGAGCTCCGTCCACGCCAGCTAACACACGTGTTGTAACAGTCACTGGCCGAAACCCCTCCCCGCACCCCCAAAGGCCTGGACCCTGAAGCAAGGGCACAGAACAAGGGTCCCAGGGCAGCTGGGACTTCCCACTGCCCTCCGGGACGGGGCGGGGCCACGCCACACCCGGCACGCACCTTTGACCGTGACCTGGGCCGTGGCCTCGATCATGCCCAGCGAGGAGATGGCCACGCAGGTGTAATTGGCGGAGCGCACCACGTTGCTGAGCTCCAGCACGTTGCGGCCCACTGGCATCTCGTCTTCCTTGGTGAGCTCCTCGGCCCCCATCATCCACTTCACGTAGGGCATGGGTGCGCCCACGGCCACGCACGTCAGGTTCACGCTGCCGCCCGGCATCACCTCCTGACTGCTGGGAGGGATGGAGAAACGAGGAGCCACACGGCGCACTGTGGGAGGAGGGAGAGAGGCGCTCACAGGCCGGGCAGGACACGCGGGAGGATGGAAGGGCGGGGGCCCCTCATCCAGGAAGCCCTGCCGCAGAGCCAAACCCACCTCAGAGACGGGGGGAGGGGGGGAGAGTCCCTGGGCCCCGCTCACCACCTCCCACCCGCGTCTGGGCTAGAAGTAGCCCCACACTCAGGGACTGGAACATGGCGCTGCAGCCAAGCTCCCCTTTTATAACTGGAATCTCAGCTCAGAAAGGACCTGCCTGCCCAGGCCACACGGGACTCAGTGCAAGGTCCAGACCGCGGGTCCAGCCCGCAGGCCTAGCCAGGGCCTCATCCCAGGTTGCCTTCCACTGCCACCCTGCCCGGCGCCTGAACCTCCTCCCCAGGGGGCCTTCCGAGGCTCTAGCTAGGGCACCAGCAAGAGAAGTTCAGGTACCCTAGGGCGGGGGATGGTCAGGGCACGGCTGGGGCAGGGCAGAGGGTCGGTCCAGGAGGGACACGGTCCCCTTCTCTGGGGTCACACCTCCACTCCCAGGTGGTAGTGAGGGAAGAGGCGGAGTGCCTGTTGGGCCTCAGTCGGGCCCAAGGCACAACCTGGGGACCCGAAGGAAAGGGCTGGCAGGGGTGAGGGCTGGGCGGGCCAGGGACGTGGTCCGCGGGCAGGATGGGCATGACGATGGCAGCAACATGATGAGGGCGCCGAACAGACGGCTTTCCGCGCTGGTGAACGAGGGCCTCAAGGGGAGGGTGGCTGTGCCTGGCCACGACCTCTGGCCTTGGGTTCCCTGGGTCAGAAGCTGTTCTGAGCTTCTTAGTCCAAGGTGCAGCCTTGCAACCCCCTCTGCACCTCCCCAAAGATGCAAATTTGGCACATTCGGAACATGCAGGGAGGGGAGGCGGCAAGACCTTGCTGTGGGCAGGCGTGCTTGGCATGCAGATGGGTCATGCAGTTGGTGGGCTGAGGCTGGGGCGTGTCCTTCATGGGCACCCCCACGGAAAGGGCTGGTGGAGGCAGGCAGCGAGGCTGAGGGACCGGGGGCACCGCTGGCAACAGTGTGGGTCTCCGGGACCCATGCTGGGGAGCCTGGGCGTGCGAGACCCACGGTGCTACAGCAGGGACAGCTCCAGTGCGGGCTCGAGACCGGCGCGCGCAGGGCCCACAACCACAGGTTCAGCGGGAAGCCGCGGCGGAGGTCCTGGGTCCAACCTCTGCCTCACTGCAGAGGTCAAAGCTGCGGGCCAGGGAACACACAGACAGCAGATTACCAGGTCCTGCGAATGCACTGCCCAAGTCACCTGATCTCCTCCAAGTCCATGGGCCCCTGAGGGCCGAAGCTGGAGCCAGCACCGCCTGTCCCTGCCTCGGCGTCCTCTAGCCCCGCTTCCGGCTGGCTCCCGCCCCGGAACCATCCTCCACAAACAGCCAGCACAGATTTGCTCACATCACTCCCCTGTGGAAACCCCCTGCGTGGCTCCCCAAGGGCTGTGCAGACCAGACTATAGGATCCCTGCTGACTAATCCCCTGACTCCACTCTGGCCAACCCCCTCTCTGAAGGCCTCGAGACTGAACCCACACACCGGCATCTCGAACCTGTGTTGTGGCTGGGTTTGGTGTGTTTCCTAGACACCGACTCGTCTGCCTTTCAGAACTGGCTTCCTTGTTTTCTGCAGGGGAACGAGCTCTCCCCTGCATGTACATGGGGCCTGTGACCCAGGTGTGACTAATGAGATACCACCTTGGACTTCTGCAAAAGCGATTAGGGAAGGAACTTTCTTGAGGATGACGGCTAACCTTAGAGGGGGGATGGGGCCCAGCTTTTACAACACACACGGGAGAGAACCTGCTTGAGCATCAAGCCAGAAGGGAAAGCGCTAGCGACAAGAACGCACGCCTGTCAGGCGGGCAGCCACACCCATGGCCAAAACCTACATCAACGTCTTTTATCTTGCCAAGAGTTTCCCTGCCTCGTGTACACAGAGACAGAAGTGGCTTCCCATCGTCTGTCCTAAGGCTGGGGTCTCCATCCTGTGAAGCAGCTTACAGCACAGGGCAGTTGTGTGTGGCGGAGAACAGGCCAGGTGCAGGGGCTCAAGGGCAGGAGGAAGCCGAGACAAAGAGCCCCCCTTCAGGGCGCTGCTCCCCAGTGGTAGAAGGGTGGCGGGTCAGGTCTGAGGCAGGGAGAGAAGCGCTGTCCAGAGGCGCGGGCACTCCCCAGAGGTGGGCCTGTGGGGCGGGCCTGCGCAGCAAGCACAGCCTAGCACCAGGCCTGCTGATGGAGGGAAGGGTCCAGGGCAGGCTGGGCAGAAAGGTGCAGGGGAGCAGCCTTAACTGGCCAAGCCTCTCCTGTACACTCAGTCAACAGTGGCCCCAAATTCTCCTGGCAGCAGCGTGGGTTCAAGCAAGACAAACACGCTTGAGCACCTACCAAATGAGGCTTCTGCGCTGCAGATGCTACTGGGTCCTCACTACAGATGAGGGGAGTGACTTAAGAATGACACTGACCTCGCCAAATACACATACTGGGAGTAGATCTGTGTGATGAAAAGCTCGTGTCCTTGCTGACAGCTGAGTGAGAGACTCCAGAGCTACAAGGAGAAGCTTCTAAAGCCTTTTGGCTTCTGGATTAGTAAAGGCTGGCAGAAGAGGCAGAAGGGGTAAAAAGATGGGACTTGGACAGCCAGTGCCGGGGGAGAGGCCACAGTTGTAAACGTGCCCCTGGTCAGTGGTGGAACCTTGGGCTTGGACTGCAGAGTCCAGTTAACCTTGGCTAAGTTCTAGCCTGGCAGCCCAGAAACTTGACTGGACTTTACACCAATAGTCTCTGGAGAACAGGTTCATCCACCCCACTGTCCAGACCTAACACTGAGAGCAGTTTTATTGTTACTGCCTTCCCCCCTTCTAGGTATAGGGGAAAGGGAGATATCCAGGGGGCAAGGAAGGGCTGAGATGTCACATGTGGCCCTTAGGGTCATCCCTAGCACCAGGCCAGGGCCTTCACAAAGACATGGACGTTGGCTGCCCATGGCCAGTCCTGAAGGTCAGTTTCCTGCAGCTCAGACACACCTTCCCGGCAGTGCAGGGGCAGGGGGTGGGGGCTGGGGTGGGGGGTGGTGGTGGCTCAGGTCCCCTGGGCCTTCCCGGACGGCCGCCCCCACCCCAGTGGCCTTGCTGCAGCAGCCCCATCACTCCTCCTGCTGTCACAGACCCAGGCCCCCCAAAGGGGTAGGACTCGCCTAGGACTCAAGTCTATTGACAGAAGCAACAGCAGGGAAGGAAAAACCAACGCCGGGGAAAATGCACTTAGGGTCTAATCTCGGGCTCCAACAATGCTGGTCTATTACTGTTCCCCGTGCATCCTTAGTACTGACATTTTATAGACAATTTCCAAAACAGGGCCCTGCCATTTCTGGATTATATTTCAGCTGTAACTTTTAAGTCTAATTATTTGCGCTGACAACCCCCTATAACAGGGCGGCGCGACGCCCGGAGGCATCAGCATTCAGCAGAGTGACAGCCTAATCGCAGGGGGCGGCAGCCCCGCAATCTGCATTCACTCGCGGAAATTTCTCTGATGAAAATAACACAACATTAAGGAGGGGATAAGGGGCAGGATCCACTGTATCAAGATAAAATAACTCTTTAATAAATAACCTTGTGGCTGCCGCAGAGCGGTAATTAAACGCCGGCGTACTCGGCACACAGTTTTAAGTAAAGCTGGAAAAATGTAAGATGTAATTATCAGCGCCAAACAAATTACCAGCCCGGCAAATCCCCCCGGAATATTTAGAAACTCGTTGCTGCCTTCCTGTTAAATATTTGTGTACAAGCTTATTTTTGGTGGGACCACAGCAGGGGAGCACAAGGGTCAAGGGGCCAGGATGGGGAAGGGGGAGGTGGCTTCGGCATAGGCGGTCTCTGCTGATGCCTGTTTTCTAAACGCCCGCAGATCTGCCCGGTCAGCGAAATGGTGTAAGGAGATGCCCCAGAGCCCAGAAGTGCATGTGGATGGATGTTCAGGGCTGATACCTGAGCTGAGGTCGCAGCCCTGCTCCTGACCGGCTCCCACTCCATCCTGGAGGAAGCTCAAGTCACGGAGGAAGATGCAGGTGGCTCTGGCCTGCTTTCTGGGGCCTCGTTCAAAGCCCTGCGGACGGGGGAGCCTCCTCTGACCACCCCGACTGTGTGACAAGAATGTCTGGCCAGGCCTTGCTTGGGGCGAGGGTCTGTCCCGAGGATGGGGCTGAGAACAGAGCCCCAGGGGAGACTGCTCTGGAGGGCCCAGCCTGGGGGGACGTTTTCTCCAATTCGTGTGGGGGCGCCGTGGCCTCTTCTGGGCTCCCATGTGGGTCTAGTCACAGCCCGACACAGGGCTGAGGAAAAGCTGGCTGGCTGGGATGCCAAGCAATGCCATCCTCAGACTGACATGGGAGCTGGCGAGGCGGCTGAGTAGTGTGGCCTGGGCACATAGAGAAAGGCCGCCTGGGTCTGTGGGAGAGGGGAGATGAGTGTGTGGGAGACTTCTCAGAGAGCCAAGATGGTGCCTCCCGCTCCATGCTATGGAGACCAGGCTCCATGAACAGCGAGCTGGCCTGCTGTGCCATGTGGGGGCCTCAAAGTCAGGGCAGGCCCTGCCTGTGCTTGGAGATCATGGGCTGCGCCCATTCTTGATTGAGTCTTTTCTCTGCTATTTCTCAGAGGTTTCAATGCTCAGGAAAACGTGGAATTTTAGGTGAGTGGAGGGCGTGGCAGGCCCCCTAGGTATGCATAAAGCACAACAGTTTTTACAGTGCCCGAGTACCACCTGGAACAGACAGCTTGCCTGGCCCAGGCACAAAGGTGGGGCGTGGCTCCGTGCCATGCACCATGCCCGTCCGACCCACCACCCAGCGAGGGAACCCAGCTGAGGAGACATGCAGACACGTGGTGCATCAGGGACCCCAAGCAGCAGGAACATGCAGGGCGGGGGACCTGCCCATCCACCCCTGGTCCTGCCCGCCTGCTGGACCGAACAACAGAGCGCGGATCCGATGGCAAGTGGCGGGCAGGCCTGGCTGGAGCGAGCCTGAGGGAGCTGAGGGAGCTGAGCGAGCCCGCTGGTCCCTACTGACGGGAGCCTCCCATCGACGGGCGAACTGTAGATGGATAAGAAGTGAAAAGGACCAACCTTCTCGCTGATCTGAGAGATGAGAGTTTGGGTTGATGGCAGAGTGCGATGAGGATGAGGAGGGAATAAAAAAAAGACAAGGAGAAACACAGAGAGAGTAAAACAGGCCAACCTTCATCTGCCCACACAGCACGGAAACAAGACAAGACTCTTGTGCCCCACGCACACACACGTGCACGCCAGTGCACGCGGACCACGCCGCTCACGAAAGACTCAGGACTCATGGAGGACACGGTGGACAGGGCTGGGTCCTGCCGCAGGTGCCAAGGGCGGGGCAGGGGAAGGTGGAAGTGGGGCCCAGGCAGGTCCCCGTGCCTCACCCGGCCCCACGGCTCGGACAGACCCAGTGAGCTGTGCTCTGGGGTCAGGGCCCACCCAGCCCACAAACCCACCAAGGCACGGGGGCCTCTAGAACCCTGCCACTTCGATGAAGGCCCCTGCTGCCTGGCACTGCAGTGTAGGAGCCAGTCTGGGTCCCTATGAGGAAAAACAGTGTGGAGACATCACCCTGCTGAGAGACAGCTGTGGGCCCGCGGCCAGGCCCTGCAGAGGGGGGCGCTGGGGCAGGTAGCCTGGGTTCAGCGGAGGGCGTGGCTCCGCCCTGGCCCCTGGCAGCAGGAGGAAAGAGACGCTGTGGATGGAAGGAGAGAGTGAGTCACACAGGGAGGGAGGCTGGTCCACCCAGCAAGCCCGGGCCTGCTAGACTGTGGGTGGAGTTGCAGGCAACTGTGAGCAAAGCAGACGTAACTGAATGATGCACCCCTCACCCCCCGTGGCGTTAACCCTCCAGCAGCAGCAGCAGCAGGGCGGACTGCCCAGCACCTCCCCTGTGTCCAGGGACTTGCTAGAGGCTGTATGTGTACTGTCCCTTAAGTGCAGCGGCTGCAGGTGCTCAGAGAGGCAGAGGAGCTGAGTCTGGGGGGACGAGGGGAGATAGGGGGCACGTGCGGCACCTGCCTCTGAGGAGGCAGCATGGCCTCCGATCCAGTGGACGTGATCGCAGAGCCAGAGCCGACTTACCACCCAGAGCAGTAGGTTTTGGGGGGATTCCTCCAAGTGACACCGGCAAGGCCTAGAGACACTGGTTGTCACGACCAGGGTATTTCTGGCATTTAACGAACCGAAGACCCTGGACATTGTACAGGACAGCCCCACACAACTAAGACTTATCCGGATCGAAAGGTCAACAGAGGCAGCAGAGGCAGGCAGAGAAACCCTGGGGCTAGAATCCACGCCCAGCAGGATGGCGAGGCTCAGGTCCTCCGGGCCTGGCGCACCCCCCACCCCGGTCCACCCCCATCTGGAGGGTAGCTGGAGCCTGCAATGGAAGGAAGCAAGCCTCACAGACACTCAGCTGGCAGGCGGGCGGGCACAGGCCAGCAGGCAGGTCTCGGTGGGTGGCCCATGCACCAGCAGGCTCAGGACAGCCGGGGACCAGCAGAAAAGGCTATCCTGGAAGAATGAGGGCTGACACAGGCCCTCAGCACCACGGGGGCCAGGAAGCAGGGGTTTTGAGGGGCTGAGATGGGGGAGGTGGGGCCACCAGAGGCAGGGGTCCTAGGGCTGTGTCCACAAGCTGGGTCAGCGGGGCTCTGGGGCGTCGCTCTCGGCGGAGCTGGTCCCGAGACACCTGAGGCCCAGGCGCCACGGCAATGTGAGTGCGTGGCAGAGTGGGAGAGGCAACCCACGCCCGCTGAGGTCTGGCGAGTGGAGAGAAGTTCCACATCCCGCCCCAAGAGGCCCGCAGAGGAGCCAGGGAGCTGACTCAGGAGCCGTGCGAGGGCAGTGGGGTGCTGTAGAGCGAGACCGCTGAGGAGCCGGAGGGTCCAGCTCCCCAGTCAGGGCCAGAGCCACCAGTTACGTATCTAGAGACTCAGACGGCGGCAGCACTGGGGTGACTTTGGAGAGCACTGCTCACCCTGGGTGATGATGCAGGGCCCAGCGGCCTTGGCCTGGCCAAGGCTGCTTGCCTTAGGATGGCCTGCCCAGGGAATGTGCCCTATGACCACACCCACGCGGTTTGCCTGGGGCTCGCAGAGGCGCTACCTGGGCCTGCCTCTCTCTGGAGCAGCCCCATGCAGCAAAGGGCTTTCCTGCCAAAGCCTGAGACCTTCACCCTCTTGACTCTGGCCCATCAGGACTGCACAGCAGTAGAATGGTCCAGGGAGGGGGCTGGCCTGTGAGACGGATCCTTCCAGTTACTTCTGCAAAGGGGACTCGGCAGGCCTGTGCTTGACAGCAGCCTGGAGCAGCGTGGGGTGAAAGCTGTGCCGCTGACGACACCGTGGCCACATGGGGGTGGCTCTCAGGCTCCGGCCTCTCTACCAGACACTGGCTCCTTAAGACAAGTCAGCCGGCTCAGGTGAGCTGACATGTAGGACACCTGGCAAGGATGGTAGCGACCACCTCTCAGGCCCCCAATTCCAACGAAGCAAATTCACCCGTCACAAAGTGGGCTAGCAGCCTGGGGCCTCGCGCCCGTGCTCTGACAGAGCAGCCTCGGTCAGCACGTGACCGATGTGCAATTCTCGTGCCTCACCTGGGTGAGTGCGTCTGACCACGTGTCCTAGTGTGGGACAGGCTGCAGCCGCCGCCCCGCCCTGAGCGTGCTGCTGGACGCCCAGGTGGACACCCTGCCTCTCCAGGCTGCGTCAGGCACTCAGTGAGATGAATCATCGCTGCGAGTCGCACCGGCTGTCCTTTACGAATCCCCGGAGAGGACACGGTTTCACTTTTAATGATGCCCATCTGTGCACGAGGGCTAAGTGAGAGGCCGCTAGGGCGCAGAGGCGCTCCCGGGGCACACCAGACCGAGCATGCCTGGAAGGATGGCAGGTGGCCGGCTGTCACTGCCAGAGAGCTGTGAGCACACGCCAGACTGGACACCCCAAAACAGTGTCCACACCCTTTCTGCTTGGTGTCTGGACTGGTGGAAACGCACAGCCCGCTTATTACAGGAAGGCGCACCTGGACACGGCAGGTGCTCACACACGGGTTGGCCGCTGCCTCAGCCTAGCCCTTCACACAGGGGTCCCAACTGCGGACGGGGTCCGGCTGGCCAGAAAGGTCTGGCCTGGTCTGCTCCTGAGGCCTGCCTGCTCCGAAGTCCGGAGTCACAGTGGAGTGGGAGCCCATGCTTCAGGGGTGGGCAGGACAGACTCCAGAAAGGTCAGGCTGGTGTGTCCACATTCACACGTAAATCTGGCCTGCTCACTTGGGTGCGCGCATGCACACGCACACACACACACACGCACACACACGTGTGACTGCTCAGAGGACTAGATTCCTGTGGGGTTCTGGGCCCATGTGGCAGGACCTACGAGAGATACAAGTGCTCCCAAGAGTGGCCGCTTCCCAAAGGACCTGCAGGGAAGAAAGGCAGAGGAGCGGCGGACATCAGGAGCCGGCCCGGTGGGAGCTGGCTGCTGCTGCAGAAAGAGGAGGAGAGACCGGGCCATGGCAGCCCCGGGTCATACTCAGGACCCTGGCAGCACACCCGGCGGGGGCAGCTCAGCTCGTGGACACGGGACGGGCGCTGCCAGACCCTTACCTCGAACGTACAGGTTGGCGGGGGCCGAGTAGCGTGTGCCCGCGGAGTTGGTCGCCACACATTCGTACTTGCCTTGGTCCGACTCCTCACTGCTCTCAATCTGCAAGGCCCCTGTGGGGACACAGAGACGGAGGTCAGGCCTGGGACACTGGCACCTGTGGCTGGTGCTGACCAGATGTGGCAGACATGGGGGCCACACCCCAGTGCCGCTGCTGCTTCCTGGAAATCTCCCAAGGCGCCCGTGGCTTACCGGCTGGCACAGGACTACACTTGAGCACGCATGGCCCCACGGTCCAGCCGGGGCTGTTGGCTGTCAGGGGCTCTACCACACTGCCCCCTGCTCCGCCGAGCGGCGCTGAGGGGAGTGGGTAGAACCAGTGAACATTTCCTCTGATGCTCCAGGCCCTAAGGGCCCAGTCTGGCATTGGCAAGCAGGCAACATCCTCAGGCACAAGACCCTGGAAGTCGGTGCCCCACCAGAATCTCACAGGGCGGAAGGGGCTTGCCCTGGTGCCCAGCAGCCTCTGCTCACAGCCCCAGTCCCACCCCACCCCCAAGCTGCTGGCCCCACCCATTCCGGCTCCTCTTCCCAGGCTGGTCCTGCTAAAGTGCTTCGACCCACCACGGCTTCTGCATAATTCAGGAGGCTAATGGAGGCTGGAGCTCCCACTCGGGCCAGCACCCTGAGGGGCTGCTCTGGCCGCAGACGGACAGACAGGAGCCAGGACTGGGAGGGCAGCTGAAAGGACCCTCACGGAGAGTGGAGGAAACTTGGGCTCACGACCAGTCCTGACAGGTCCAGCTGGGGAAGCTCGACTTTGCCAGCCCTGACAAATAAACCCTTGAAAAAACTGCTTACGAGAGCATCCTGGGCAAGCTGGCTGTGACAGTACCACCCCGAGGCACAAGCAACACCCTCCACCCCAGCCACAAGGCGAAAGACAATCACACCCCCACACGACAGTCCAACGGACAGTTAGTAAGCCCACAGGACACAGCCTGAAAACCACCTCCTGCACGGGACAGCCGGAGACCCTCCCCCACCCCTCCCAGGGCCCAGACTACATGTCGGTCTCACCCACACAGGACAGACAGAACCTGCCACACCCCCTGACTGGACAGGTGCCACAGGGAGAGTTCCAAGCCATGCACTCATGACCCAGGACCCAAGGGACCTGGGTCCAAGCCACCTCATGTCTTTCTTCTGGCACCCAGACGCAAGTGGAAAGGACCACGAACATCTGGGGAGCTGGACGTGGGTGAAGGGGATACACAGGCTGCACCCCACCAGAGAACAAAGGACGGAGCTGCCCTGTAGTCCTGGCCTCAGCCCCTCCACGGGCATCGGGGCACATGCCAATGCCGCTCCTGTGAGAGCAGCCCTCGTGGGCACCCACCCAACAGGTCATGTTCATGGGATGGATGGAGACTATTACAGGTAATGTTCATTCAAACAGGTGGGGGTCAGGCCCCTGGTAGGGGGTGTGGCGGTGGTGTTGAGTCAGCTCAGATCAGGGGTGAAAGGAAACCTAATGGCGGGGCCACGTGCTGGGGCAGGACGTGGTGGGCAGGATTCCTGTCCCGAACAGAGGCGCTCCTGCGCTGAAAAGTCGGGACTGGTCAGGGCACCCCATGGATGCGGCGTGAGATCTGTACACTAGACCTCGCAATGCCAAAACCCAGCAGCAGGGGCATGAAGGGTCAGAACAGGCTGAGAGGACGGGTGGGCCGTCTGGAGGGCAGGGCCTGTCCTCAGAGGGGGGTGCAGAGGTGCCCCAGAGGGACCGCTGCTTTTACTAAGCCCAACTTTAACCCTGACACCACCCTGGCCCTGAACTCTTAGGGTCTAATGTGCCCAAAAACAGAGACAGAGGAGGCGAAAAAATAACGTGAATCAACCATTTCAGGGGCACCCATTTTCACAGGTTATCTGCCATGCCAGACGCTGCTCAACCCCTCATTCTCAGGACCCCATGAGGTGGGCGCTGTCTGCAACTGAAAGGACACAAACAGATCTGAAAAATGAATCGAAGTTTTGAAGGTCACACAGGTTTTGAGTCACTCTTGAACCTGGGTCTTTGAGTCCAGAGTCTGGCTTTGAAGCCCCAGCTGCTGGGCTTTGCTACTCAAAAAGCAGCCAGGGGCTGATGGGCCAAGGAGGCAGCTATGCAGGGTCCTGTTTACACCTCTGCTGTCATCCAGGAGCTACACTAAGGTCTTAACTGAACGTTCCTCCTAGTGATGGCCGGGCCAAGGGATTTATGGGATGGTCGTCATTCTACTCCAGGGCTCATCTGTTAAGGAGAAGTCAAGTAATAACTGAAGGACCCCAGAGAGGAGGTTCTCAGGGGGAAAACCAAGGCCTGGGCTTGCACCTCCACCTCACAGCTACACTCACGGTCTGCAGCCAGTCTAGGAGACTAGGGCTTGGCTTCACAGTGGGGACCCACGGGTCCCTACTGTGGGACTGACCTAGAAACAGGGAAGGGGGAGCCAACTGTCCCCCAAGTGGGGCTCTGCTGAGATCTCCACAACCCAGACTGGCAATGGATGAGTCCACAGGAGGGAATGACCAAGAGTGGATGTGTGTGGTGGTCGGTGGTGTTGAAGGGGCTGGAGCTGGAGATGAGGAGGCTGGAGAGGTCAGGATGGGGATGGGGGAGGTGACGGACTGGACGGGATGGAGTGGTGGTGACGGCGGCGAGGCGTGGCGTGGCGTGGCGAGATGCACGGACAGCATTCTTACCTCTGATTGGTGAACCACCTGGCGAGGTAATTTGAATGCAAATAAGATCAGAGAGAAGCATTAGTACAAAAGGAAAGAAAGCCACAAAAAGCCAAATCAGATAAACTAAAACATGGAGAAAGGGCCTTATAAATACATGGAGAAATCGAGGGGCCTAGGTCAGGCCGACACAGGCTATATGTGAGCAAGCGCCAGACTGGCCAGCGTGAGTGAGCTCTGACGGCCAGGTCACAGGAATCGCACTGCTCCGAGAAGGGGGAGGTGGGTGCGGTAGCAGGGCCGGGGTGCTGGGAAGCAGCAAGGTGAGTCAAAGCTCCTGCAGACCCTGCTGGCTGAAGCCAATGGAGGGGGTATGTGAAGAGAGAGAGGAGCCTCACCCGGCAGGGCCACCCAAATTCCACAGGTGCTTAAGATTTCAAAGCAAAAACACTTACCAAAACAAACCAGGGCACTAAGCAGACACAAGAAAGGGCTAGAGCGAGAGGGCTTGCCACAGGCTGCCACCACATCAGGTCTCCTGACAAGCACTCAGCCTAGCCCCGCTGTGGACTTGGGGTGAACGCAAAAACCAATGGCAGATGCCCCCTCACTCCCCGTAAAACCAAGCGACTGCTGAGCTCCCCCCACCCTGAATGCGGAGAGCCAGAGGCAGTGCCCACCCCTTGCCCACTCGGTGCTCGTAACCTTGAGAAGGTGGACAGGTGCCTCCTCTGAGCTTGCGCTGGGGTCCCCTCTCCTGCCGCAGCCCTATCCAGGAGTGTGGGCTGGGGGCAGGCCCTGGTCCAGGGCTGGGCACTGCCCCTCGGGCCCCCTTCTGGGGAGTGGCGGGGAAGTGTGCCAAGAGGCAAACATCAGTCACCATCTAACTGAAAATGAAGACATCCGTGGGAGGAATGACCCAACTCCACACACGGATGAGCGAACGGGCTGAGGGACACTGAGCGCGCTGACTGAAGTTCAAGGCCACGCAACTTGTGAGGCGGCAGACACGAACCAGGCCTGTCTGGACTGCAGCTTGCGCATGGGATGGGGCTGCCTGCAGCACACCAGACACTGGAGGGTCGAAGGCAGCTGCTGGGACGTGGGCTGTGTGTGAGGGTGCAGGCTACTCGGAAGAGTGCACCGTGGCGATCATCCAAGCAAGGTCCCCGAGACCTTTCATCACAAGGTCAAAATTATTTTCCTAGTACGAGGTCAAGATTATTTTCATAATGCTAAGAAATAACTTGCCTTTCTCGTTCTTACTCCCCTACAAACATTCAGTGGAGTTTTCCAGAGACTCCGTGATCTGGGACATTGCAATAAACGCAACGCAGAAGCAGCGATGAGAATCCAGCTGTCTTCTATTAAGCCCAAAATTAAAGAGATTTGTAAAAGTATGTAACAATGCTGCTCTTCTCACTAAATGTTTGTTTTAGAAAATAAAACCGTTTTTCATTTAAAGTATTATTTATGTTTACTTGTAATGGGTTTTTAAAATAGTTTTAAAGTGGATTAATAAATATTTAAAATTACTCCATCTTAATAGCTAGCACAGCAAATACTGAGAGACCCCACAAAAACAAAAGCTCTGAGGTCCTCTACAACGAGAGGTCCTGAGACCACAAAGTCAACACAGCTGGTCTATTCCACATCGGGACCTGGCCCGGGAGGGCAGCAGCACAGACGGCCAGGACCAGCAGGCCAAGTTTCGGGCTCCGTTCTTCCAAAACCTAACCCGGTCCCTCAGGAGAGTAATAGCCACTAAACTAAAGAAGCATTTACTCTTTTCATTTCACAAGACAAGTGTGAGAAGCTGAAAGGGGGTGGGTGGGGGTCCCAGGAGTTGGTCCCACGTATCTGAGAGGTACCAGGTAGCTCGGGCGAAGGCACACATGACCACCCCCTGCCGGCAGGGCCTCCAGGCCCAGCCGGCCAACGGCGGGCAGAGCGCAGGGCACAGACTGAGCTCTGCTCTGAGCGGGGTCGCCCGCAGTGTGGGGGACTGCGCTCCCCTCGGGTCCTGCTCGCCAGCTTCTGCACTCCCCCTCCAGCAGCCAGAGTTTCTTCTTGAGGCCCGCAGCCTCGGTTCAGGTGTCTTGGTTTGTGGAAGGAGACCCCATTCTGGGGGAGCGGGGCACAGACATGGCCACTGGGTTGTCCTCTGTGCTGAAAGGGATGGCGGCTCAAACGCTTGGGCACCGGCTGAGCCAAGTACCAGTGGTCTCTGCAGGACCTGTCCAGGTCTGGCAGAGCTTACAGCCCAGCAGCTCTCCTCAGGACCCTGCTGGGCTCTGAGCCCCGGCTGGAGTCGGCCCCCACCTGCTGCTCCAGCGACAGTGGTTGCCTCTGACTTGACTTCCAATCTCCCTGAGATTCCCCATGCTGGGTCTCAAGTTCCTGAATAGATTTCTGTTGTTGTGTTCCGTCACTTTGGTGAGGAAGTGCTTGTTGAGTAGGGTTCATACCTGCTAGCAGTCCTCCCACCCAGTGCCCTGGTTACCTGTGCCCTGGCGTGGCCAGCAGACACCTGAGGAGTCTGGGTACCTGTCGGGGAGGGGCTGAAGTCTGGAAAGGATGGGATGTGGGCCCAGCAGGATCCAGCCGTTCCCCAGCCCCCAGGCTCAAAAGTAACACTAGAAGGCCCAGGGTGACCTCCAGGGGAACTCCTGGGTCCTGGATTTTCATGATGTCAAGCAGGCACGATAATCAGCCATCCTACATTGGGTCGTAGGAGAACAAACCACAGTAAAAGGCAGGAAAGCACTTTGTAAAATGTTAGTGGTACATAAACTGTGAAGATCCTGTAAACAGCCAAGTGCTTGTGGCCTACTCCACTCTAGGAAGGGCTGGTCCTGAAAATGTGAATGAACAGCCCCAGCATCCTCCTAAAGATTGTGGGGGAGGGGCAGCAGTTACTGTGGTCAAGGGCCAGGGGCCAGGGTCAGCAAGATGGAGGAGAAAGTCTATGTGTTACTGAAGTGGGCTGCTGAGGACCCCAGGGTGCCATCTGGATCACAGCTTCCAGGTGGCAGCGGAGGTTAAACAAGGACGTCTTCCTTGGGCCTGGGAAGCAGGAACAGTGCAGGTCAAGTCCAAGATCACAGGCATGATGAGGGCTCAAAATCCCTGTCCTACAACTGGGCTTGCGCTGGGCACCGGTGGGGAATGCGGCAAGGGGAGCCGGAGCCAGGCCACACCTGCAAGGAGTGTCCAGCTGGAGCCGACAATGACAACATAAAGCCAGATGGGCCTGAGGTGACCATGAGCAGAGGGCCAGGATAGGGTCAGGGTGGCTCAGTGCAAGTGGGGGAGAGGCAGGGGGTAAGAGGGACCCTGTTCAGGGCACCTTCCCAACGCCAGGCAGGAAACTGAAGCTCTGACACTTTACTGTCACCCCTTTTCAAAGGTGAGAAGACTGGGACTCAAAAAAGTTAAACAACTTAACAAAGGCCACAGAGCCAGTGAGTGTGTGGGCGGGGCCTGATGAGATGAAGCTGGAGAAGATGGAGGAGGGGTCTGCGTGCCTTGTTCGGGGGCATGCACTGGACCATGGAGGCAGTGAGAGGCCACTGAGGTGAGCAGCCTGAAGAGTATGAGCAGAAAAGGCCAGGGCTGGAGCAGGTGGATTCAAAGGAGAGCCCAGGGGCAGGGAGGGCTATGCTTGGCGACCTGGGGTACAGTCGAGGCAGGAGAAAAGGGGAGCAACTAGACAGCTGCCAGGCAACAAATCAGGAGGAGCTGGCGTTCCCTGCTGGGGAGAGTCGGGTGTACCCCATGTTTCAGGAAGGGGGACTGCCACTCAGAGGGGATAGAGCAGACAGGCACGGCCGCTAGGAGCGGTCACTGCTGAGAGGGTCAGGGCACGAACAAGTTTTAGTCTGGAGCTCAGGCAAGGTCTGGGTCGGAGGGGTGGAACTGGGAGCTGCAGGTGTGGTGTGAATACCTGAGGCTCTGGGGGGGTTGGGGGGGGAGCTGGCCCAGCAAGGCTCCACTGTGAGGAGAGCAGGGCTCACAGTTCACTGCAGCCAAGTCAGGGAGCATGGGAAGGGGCGAGCGGTCGAGAAGGGGGTGGGTGTCGGCTGCTGCTCCGAGTACCAGGAGGCCCCACAGCCTGGAGCGGAGTGATGGGCAGGAGCAGACGTGCGGGGCAGAGACGGGTGGCACGGGGCCCGCGCCAGGCGAGCCCCACATGAATACTTGATGAGCGCGTGAGACAGTGTGCCTTCCCAGAACTGCTGCCGCGGACAGTCAGTGCCGCCCCAGGGCGGAGGCCAGGCCTGCGGGGAAGGCCATCTGGCTGCCTGGGGAGTCCGCCTGGGGGACCGTGGGGAAACCCAGAGGAGCCGAGCCTGCTGACTGCTGTGCCGTGCTGGGCAGCGGCCACCAACGCTGCCGGACCGTTTCCTGCCTTGATTATGGCTGTTTTAATTAACCGCGCTACAGCTGCCTCCATCTTGTTGAGTTTTAATTAAATTAAATGAGCTAACACTTCGTAGGCTGTCTCAGGCGGCCGTGGCTGGGGCCAGAATCCTGCCCCTGCCGAGCGGTTCATCTCTCCCTCCTCCCCTGGGCACCACGGGGGCAACCCCCTGGGGGGTGTTGTGGGGACAGGCTGGCGCCCCAGGGAGGGGCAGGGGCTCTTCTGAAGCCCGGGGGGCCTGAAAGGGGCAGCGTCCAGTCGTCCTCGGAGGTGCTGACACCACAGCTGGTGGGCAGCAGCGTCTGGCTGGTGTGGTGCTGCCGTTCCGCCGAGGCCTACCGCCACGGCTGGCAGGAGGGCTTCTGGGCCCGTCTCCGGTCCGGCCTTGCTGGTGGCAGATGCAGGATGCAGCAAACTGACTCCAAGCCTCCTTTCCTGCCTGCTCCATTCCCACAAAAACGGAATCAATTATCTTGGCGGGAGTCTCGCAGGCAGATCGATCAACGGGGCGACACATCCCGCCTGGTCACGACAGCATCCTTGCTCCCGGGGCTCCGAGCTGGCTTGACTGAGACATCCAGAAGAGACAGGTGGCTCTGACGGCCGAGGGACAGCAGCACGTCCCTCAGTTCCTAGCCCTGGAGGCCCCGTCTTTTGAAGCCCGATGAATCAGGCATCTCTGGCCTCTTTCCGCTGGCCAACCCCTGCTATCTGAAGGAGCAAAGAGACGGACCACCCAGGCCGCCTCTTGGGCCTGCTCCAGGGAAGGTGGAGGGTGAGATACCCACAGAGCTCCGTCGCCAGCCCAGTGCCAGGCCGGGCAGCACACTCGCACAAGGAGCAGCTTGCAACGCGACGATTCAGGAAGGTGCAAGAACCGCGGCTCACCAGCCCTCACTGCCAGGCTCTCCTGGATGGTGCGGGCCGACGGCGCCACGGGGCGCCCTCTGTTCAGACCTGGCGGGTGAGCCCCACGCTGAGGCCTCGTGTGGTTCCCAAGCACCCCGGCCCAAGAGGGCAGGACGCCTGGGTTCTGGTGGCACCGTTCCTAACGTCTGCGCAGTCCCTCGCCCTCTGCTCACCTGAACGCAGCTGTTTGATGCGGCCGTTGCTCGTGGCGGGGTCCACAGGGAGGAAATCCTTGAACCAGGAGATCTCAGGGTCCGGATTCCCGCCTGCTGCACACAGCATCGTGGCTGTGCGCGCCTTCTCCACCACTTTCAGCTGAGGCCCCATGTCGATGGAGGGGAACCCGGGGGGCAGCTGGTCCTCTGCAGACAAAGAGCAGGTGTACACGTTAGGCGTGGCACTGCCCGCCCGTGAGGGACCGCCCACTGGGGCGCCCCTCGTGGGAGCCTCCCCAGACCCCCAGGTTGGGTGAGACCCTCAAGACTCTCTTCTCCCTGATCCCTGACATCTACCTAAGCATAACGCTGCCCTGATCTGGGGAACCCAAGTCTCGAGTCACAATGCCTGGGCTTGCCTTTGGCAGGGCTGCGGGGGGGCAGCAAGGGGCCCACCCTGCCCTGTCAGGCATTTCCAGGTCTGCTAAACTCAAGCCTCAGACTTGAAGATGTCAGCATTATCTCTGGGTCCTGAGAAAAAAAGGGGATGGATGCTCTGCTGGCTGCAGCAGAAAACGCTAGACGGACACTGAGCTGCGGGAGCCACAGCTCACACGGCACCATCCACAGCCACGACTCAGCCGGGGGCGCCCGTGCCGCCCGGGCCCCACTCCTCACTGAGGGGGCCGGCCTTCCGCTCCACTGCACGGCGCACTCAAGTCTTGGTTACCCCTGCCCTACCACTGACCCGCCTTGACCCCTGTCCTGCAGCTGACCATTCACTACTGCAGCCTTGACCCTGGCCCTCCTCTCCTGAGTGGGAGGGCCAGTCCACTCAGGCCTAGAGACCATGTCTGAGAATGCGGAGGCTAAGAAGATTAAAAAAAAGCTCACGAGGACACCTAAGTGATGAGCGGAGGTAAAACTCCTCGCTGGCAGTCTTCTTCCAGCTTGCCAGCAGCTGGCAGCTCACGGAGGAGTCACTTCCCCAGAGCAAGCGGAACAGACATCAGCAGCACCCCCACTCCCACCGCACACGGACTCCTGCGTCAGCCCCGAGGAGCTGGGGTCGGGGGGCGTGCCACTCCCTGCCCTTGGGAGCACGCGGGGCTGGACTAGCACCGGCCAGGCAGGGCCCTACCTTCAGCACTACCTAGCCCGTGGGTGCGGTACTCTGCCTCTCCGTGTCTCCCTTGTTATCTGTAAGCAGGGTTCAAGTGTCCACCTCGTGAAGCCATTATGAGAACCACATCTGATAATGCACGTAGGTGCAGGAGAGCATCTGACAAAGAATCAACACCCAGTGAAAATTAGCTGATGTTATTAAGACTACCGAGGGCTGAGCCACTGGGGCAGCCAGGTACCAAACTGACAATGTGTGTGAGCACCTGGCAGAGCCTCTCGACCAGTGTGGATGCCAGACGAGGGGAACAGTCCTCTGCCAGCCTTCTGGGGGGGCAGCAGGCCTCCACAGCGGGGGAGATCTGGAATCTCCCTCCTGAAAGCCCAGCACAAACTGGCATGTGGGGACAGTCGCTGAAAGTCAGGCTCCTGTGCCAGGGACAGGCAAACAGCTCCCGGAAGGGAAGAAACACCCAGGACTGGTCTCTCGAAACACCAGAGATGCGGGGGACTGACGGGGGGCGGGGAAGACAACAGAGCAGGCTGGCTAGAGCCCTGGAAGGAGGACCAGACACCCCTCTCTTTGTTGCCTGGTCCTGGGGAAGGCTCTGACAAGGTTGCCAGGGACGCCCCAAAGGGCCAGTCGTCCCATCGGGACCGGGGTGGGGGGGTCCCGGCTGGGGAGCAGCAGGGCTGTCAGCTCAGTCTCACCTCCCCAGGCGCTCCTGGAAGCTGGCAGTACACCGCTCTACCTTCATCCCTATAAATTCCAGACATGAACCCAGCATCTCCTTGGCTGTAAATATGATCCCAGAGTGCAACACTGATTTTTAAAAGGAAAAATGTGTTAAGTACTGGAAAGAAAAGGGAGGCTGGAAATAAAGCACGACTTGGGGTGCACCGTGCAGGGAGCAACTTCCTTCGGCCTTGCTGCCTCTCGCCTTCACAGGATGGCCAGGTCGGGCCTGAGGCCCAGGGTTCCCCTCAGACGGGGGCACTCAGGGCTGCTGGAGTCATCCCAGGCCACCACGGCCCCAGTCTAGTTCTTTCACCTCAGTCCTACCTGCTCGGCATCCCTGACCAGTGGGGAAGGGGAGAGGAGGCCCTGCCAGGTAAGGGCCCAGGAGCCAGCTGGCCCCATCTCTAGCGGCCGGGCACTACTGATCAAGGAGACGGGGAGGAGTACAAGCATCTGCAGCCCCGTGTCCCAGGAATCTACTCTGAATTCCTAACACGGGGAAGGTCTTTGGGATTTATGCCAAATTAAGGACAATTAATTTTCCTCCCTCAATTATCAGGCCCTCAGTGGCTCCGTCCTTGGCTCAGCTCATCCCTCAGGCACCGCCGCCAGAGCCTCAAACTGGCATGTGTGAAGAGCTGTCCATAAAGCAGCGGGCCCCAAAAGCCGGTCCCCTGTGCCAAGTAGGCTTCTAGGCAGAGCAGGGAAGGCTGTGTTTCTGCTCCTCTCGGAGGGGAAGTGTGTCTCGCAGGAGGGCTCCAGACCCTCAAAAGTGACCTGCTGCTGTCACATCCTTCTACTCTCACGCCAGGGCCGTCAGCACATTCAAAATTAGCCAAGGACAGCAGCCGTCCTCGGAAGCCCGCCGCGTGCCTGGCCAGGCTGAGCACTGGGCATGCTGGTGCAGTGACCCACCCACGAAATGGCACATGCATCCCCTTTCACCGCCCAGTACCCGGTGGAGCTGGGTCGCTGTGGTCTGCGCGCTCCGGCTAAGCAAGGCCAGGGGCAAACTCCTTAGGCTGACTTCACAAGATCACCCCAGACCCCTCGACCATGGAAGTGAGGGTAAGGTCATGTCACAGAGCACTCAGGACAGCCCAGGTACTGCGCAAAATGCCTTACAGAATGATTTAATCTTCACCCAAACCCTGAGTCTATGAGCAAGGAGGGAGGGGGGCTTAGAAGGCTCTAGAAACCAGCCCAAGGTCACAGAGCTGAATGAGAGGCGGGGCTGGGATCAGACCGGTGGCGGGGCTCCATGCCAGGTGGGTTGGGGGTGGGGGGGTGCAGGGAAAGCCTCTCCTCCACCCCGCATGCCCCACACCACGCCCTCTGCCGGCTCCAGGGGGCTCGGCGGGGCCACCGCAGACCACCGCACACAAACCGCGGCATTTTTATTTACAGCACAACGGACCCGGCTGCCCCCCACACGTGGACACCCGCGGGCACGCACCCACGTTGCAACATCCGAATGTGCTGGTCACGCCGTGTCCCCTCAAAACCCATCCTGTGGGCGGAGGGGCTGCAAGCTGGAGGGGAGAATGGGCCCCTCCCCCCGGCGGGGGGGCGGTAACCGTGGCAACGGCAGGGAGGCGGCAGCCAAGGCGGAAGGCTGCGCGTGGCCCTGTCCATGCCGGCGCCTGCTGGCGCGCGCATCCGCCTGTGAAGCGCAGCCGCCCCTCCCACCCGGGCTGGGTGGAGCCGCCGCACCGCCCCCCAGGACCCCAGTCCCCAACTCCTGGGAACCCTCTGTCCTAGGTTTCCTTTTCACTCAACTGATGAGCATCTGGCACCCCCTGCCCCACGCCACCCCCACCTCTCCAGGGTGTTTCAGGCGGGCTGGGCAGTCCCCACACCTGCCTAGCAAGCATCTGCAGTGTCTGTCTCCTGGGCTGGGTCCCTCCACCCTCAGCCAGGAGGGTCTCTGGAATGTGGGGAGCTTCAGGGACTTCAGAGGCACCGCGGGGCCCACGTTTTACAGGTGTTTGCCCAGCATGCACGCACACGCAGGATGCACACACATGCTCCAGGGTCTGCCTGCATGCAAGTGTGCCCGCCTGTGGGGTGCCGCCGGCACATCTGTGCACGAGTCCCTACAGTGTTTACATACTTCAGTGGGGACACCTGACCCGTTCCCCACCTCCCTACCCAGCAGCACAAGATGACAGGTGTGGGTGTGGGGCAGGGGACCGTGGCTTACAAGCTCGTGGAGAGCAGAAGACTGAGGTCCCACAGCAGTGGGGGGGTTGGATCAGTTCAAGCCCACCGCTCAGGGGCTATTCTGATGGCTTCCTGGAGGAGGGCGATGCAGGAAACACTTGAGCAGGGGCAGGGAAAGCTCTCTGGAGAAGGGAAGGGCTGTGTAAAGGTAGTGACGGGGGTTGGCGGCAGTAGGCAGGTATGTCTGCCCGGAGCTAAGGCAAACAGCGGGATACTGATAGATGAGGGTAGGGTCAGGGCAGACAGGGTGGGGCGGGACTGACTGAGGCTGGCTGCAGGGACCGGGAGGGAGCTGAGGTCCACTACAAAAGCACACACAGGTCTCTTTGTCCAACTCAGCCTGGGATGCCTGAGGCGGGGTCTGGTCCAGAGGGAGGGGGCTGCACCGGGGAGGCTGACAGATGGAGACGCCTTGCGGGGTCCCGGGGCGGGGAGCACCGGCTGTCAGCACGACCTTCTCACCCGTGTTTACCCAGCTTCACGGCGTTGCTGTGTGCATGCAGGCACACACTGGCACACACAGACACAGGCTCCCTGGGGTGGCGCCGTCTGTACCTGACACCCCCCCACCCCCCGCCATGCGGGTGTGAGTGCTGGCCGGTGTCTGAACAGACACCTAGAAGCACGCACAGTCAGGGAGCACAGAGATAAACATGGAGAAAGACAGGTGCAGAAATAGAAACCTACACGTGCGTGTGAGGGGCACCTGCAGTGACAGGCACCTGTGGGAACACTGACACGCAGACCCAGAGGCAGGGCACACGGACGAGGAAACACACAGGTAGAGACCTGCAGCCAGACGCACACGTGTGCTGAGCACACCTTGGGCACACGCAGGAAATGCAGAGACATGTAGGGGCCCATGAGGGCCCTGGGGTGATGAGGCTGCCAGCCCCCCCCCCCCCCCCACCGCACACACTCTGGAGGGAGCCAGGGCCGCCTCAGGCCGAGTCGCAGGCAGCTCCATCCTTAGCAGGGACAGGTCTGAGACACCCCACCTCCAGCCCCCTCACTCTGGAGAACCCGGCCCCCAGGCTTCCAGGCATAAGTGGGGCCTGGGGAGACTTGAGCCCATCTCCCTTCACAGCTTTCAGTCTCGACTTTCAGTTTTTTTCTGAGAAAA